ATGGAGGAGAATGAAAGGATATTGCAAAAATTCGGTGCTGGCAGGAGAGGGGCAACATTGCCAGAGGGGACCGAGAGTGTCAGATTAGAGGAGATGGCTAGGGATGGTGAGAGGAGGGAGGTGGAAGGGAGAATGGGTCAATTGATGATGGATGGAAATAACATCAATGTTGGTGCGGATACGCAAATGGCCAATTCTGGAATGAATCCTGGTCCACAATGGCAAATGCAGCAACAACCGCGGGCACCTGAACCAGAAAGAATTGCCCCTCCTCCTGCGGAGAAGCTTCCAGAAAAGCCTTATAAACAGAAGGTTACAATCACTAAAGACGGAAAAAAAAGGGTAGCACCTCTATTGGTCTCAACGTTAGTAATCATTTGCCTTGTTGATTGTGAGGTCTTTTTGAATTTCAGCTGATTCCAGTATGTCGGATACAGAGGCGGTGGCCATCGTTCAAACCTCCCCAACGCCCACCTCCTTCAAGCGGCTGCTAATAACAACTCTGGAACAAATAATGGTCCAAAAACCGAGCTTGATCTTACACGCCCATATGATGGATTGCCGAAGGGTGGAATGCCAGCCCTCCTTATTGGAAATAAGCGCAAAGTGCCTATACCTGATGAGGGAGAAGAAGAGCAACCTCAGCATACAAATAATGGGAAACGGGTAGCGGTTTTAACAAATGGGGGTGCTGGTACCGTAGGACCATTAGAGACACCGGAATTCATCAGGCCAGCTGTTGTATCTCCTGCTTTAGCGCCTAGTCCAGTGCGATTAGCGGTTCCGAGAGTCAGGATTTGCGTCAATAGAGTCATCGACGCTGCTGGGCAACCTTCTGCAAACGTTCCTAGCATTGGTGCGTCAGGTTCCGCGCCTGCACAAGGCTCTGGCTCAGATGATACTGTCTTTGAGGCTAGGAATTCAAGGAATGTTACAGATAGGGAACCAACACGCCTAACTATCACTAAACATGGTCAGGTCGTATGGGTGGATTTTGTCCCCAAAGCAGTGTTGTTAGTTACAGGAAATAGTAATTTTTGGTGTGCGGCCTGTGAGGATGGAAGTTTGCATATATTCTCTCCAGTGGGTAGAAGAATTCTCAACGGGCTCGTTATTGAGGCACAGCCATGTTTCCTTGATTGCAGAGGGTGGTGGCTGATGTGCATCAGTGCTGTGGGAGTTGCTCATGTCTGGTAAGTTCTTTGCTCTAAAACTGACATTCGCAGCAATTGACTGGTAGGATAGGAATATCAAAACTATGAAGTCGCCTCACCCCCCAGTATCTCTTGCGCCAATATTAGATATTGCAAGTACTTTTCAAAAAGCCGATGGCCTTTCTAAGGCAGAGGCCATCACTGAAGCTGGGATAAACTCGGAAGGCACTATCGTCGTATCTTTGACCAACGGAGATGGATATTCATATGCGAAGGACATGTTTACATGGATGAAACTCACCGAAGCCTGGTGGGCCATTGGTTCTCAATATTGGGACACGGCAGGGAACTCACGCGCATCCCAGGCTGCGCTGGAAAATCCCTCTGATCCAGGAAACCCCTCTGTCTCCGCGGGCATTATCCCCCATTTGGAACGCCGAACAACCAATGAAGTCCTCCTTCACGGTCGTGGCCGTTTCCTCCAACGTATCGTCAAATCTCTACTTAACAGGGAAGGATTTGAAGGGTTTGAGACTGCTGTGTCCGTTGCGCATCTGGAGAACAGAATGGCCGCAGCAGTGGCTTTGGGTGCGAAGGAAGAATTTAAGAACTACCTGTTCATGTACGTCAGACGGATTGCGGCTGAGGGGATGAAAGGAAAGGTAGAGGAGTTGTTGAGAGATTTCATGGGCAGGGTGGATGTTAGCGAAGATGATGAAGACGAAGAAGAAAACGATGATGAGATTGTGGGTTGGAATAAGAGGGAACTATTAAAGGGAATTTTGCTAGCTATTGGTATGCTCTTTTTTTTCATTCACGATGCTTCTGGTTCCTATAACAAACTAACCGTTCTGTGTGTAGGCAAACATCGTGATTTACAGAGGATTACAGTCCCATATGCAAGAATTCTAGGAATTATGGAGGAGGACGATGAATAACTACGTATTCTTTAAATAGCTAGCAATATTTCGCGTTCAGTCCCAATCCCAAAAAGGCTTAGAAACACGGCCGTTCCTACCTATTATCGCTGTATGATTATTATTTTCCTATCTGTTTGTAGTTCTAGCACGCGGTTTTCCTTTCTTTCAGGGCATGGTGTGGTGGAAGATATCTGCGGCTGGGCATTGTGCATTTATTGGGCGATTTAGTATAATCAATATCCCGCTAGAATCTATTGAGTCCACCGGGGTGATCATATTTTTTAATCATCTAAGGGTTGGGGGGCTGATCAATTGAATCGCCCCTGATCGATCTTGTGGCCTTAAATGAAATTATATCAGGTATGATAAGATGCTTATATTAGACAGTACTGGAGAATGCACTTGGGGAACATTATATAAACCAGAAAATATTCTGCTTCATAAATTATCACTCGGTGATTTATCTCACCCCTCCTGCGGGCATCTAACAAGATACACACGTAGACTAGGGTCTATTGTGATGCAGGGGAGGCGGAGAGGAATGCTCTGAGTGTTGAGCTATCCCTTAAGCTGTTGGAACATGCTAACTCTTTTTTGTCAAAGGTGAGGTTTTGCTGGTAAATTCTTCTCATTTATTCGGCCTGAGTCAATCACCCACCTGAATTTGCTGTATAACGTTGACTCCCATATATACCACAGGGTCAGAATCAACATCTGAGCTACATGGGCCCCAGGAGGGGAGATATATCTAGATAATGCGTTGGGGTGAGATAGTTACCGCTCAACTAGAAGGAACGAGTAACTTATATGTGATAATATACTTGCAGCTTGTATAACTGGTTTGGTAAAATAAAAGAACACATATGGTCGAGGGTGAAAGGACAGAAATGATACATCGTGAACTACCGAAATCGGTCGGTATCTAACATAAGAGTTCAAACTTTAGGAGTTCCATGCATTCATCACCGGTCGTATTTCAACCGTCGGGCCCTCTTTTCCAAAGGGGCCTGAACCCCGAAAACCCCCCCCCTCTCTCTCCATGCGGATGCAAGTGGCTCAAGGGCGATGACGTAACGCGGCTCTGCGGGATGGATGCGGTCAGTGCAGGGTGGATACGTCACACCGGCCCAGGGCGGCGTTGGGTGCGGTGTGGCGGAGTGGGGATTAGTAGAGAGCGTCGACCCTGACCCTGAAAGAGTAGAGTTGGTTGCGTTGAACTGAGCACACCAACCAACTGGAGCAACTGGAAACCAACAACCCGTTCCGCAGATCTGGGCATGCGTGATATTCCATGACCCACGCGCAAATGACATCACCACGACCTCACCCAATATCATCACTGGGAAGGAAGGGGTGGAACAGGCAGTAGCAGTGGCAGTGGGTATCTAGTAGTAAGCAATGGTAGTGGTGGAAGTAGAGATAAATACGCTCGAATCCCACAGAGTTCGGGTTTTGACTCTGTATCTATCAAACAAAAAAAAAAAAAAAACCAATTCTCAAACAAACCGTAACTCCTCCCAAAAACACTCAAAATGACCAAAGACTCCCAAGTCGGATCCGCCTCCATTTACGAGGCCGGCGACCAACGAAATTACTCCCGCGACGAGCAGCAAAAGGCGAAGGCCGACGCCCGCTTCGATGAGGGCAAGAAGGGTGCCCACAGCAATCTCGACTCCAGTACGTTTCCCCCTCTTCTCTCTCTATATATCTTCTACCAACATCTTACTAACCCGTCAAACCACCAGAGGATGAACGCTCCATCAAGAACCGCCTAGCTTCTGCAAGTGCAGAAGCATCCTCATCACACGAGGGCCCCGAGAAGTCAAAGGACCCGCGGCAGGCGGCCATCTCGCATGGGAACGAGCCGTCGAAGGGGGCCAAGATTGATGCCGAGTTGCAGGCGGAGGATGAGGCGATGATAGCGAAGAAGGATGCGCAGAAGAAGGGGGCTGCGGGGCAGACTTCGTAGGGTTGATGTTGGTGTTGGGTTGGTGTTGGGGGTGTAATGTTATGTTGTATGAATATGTATGAGTATAGAAGAGTCACTGGATTGATTCTGTGGTGGTGATGATGGAGTGTTGTAGAATTTAGTTTTGTTTTTGGACATGGAATAAATGAAATGTGAATGAACAAACGCCTTGAGAATTGGGAACAGATATCGCAGGTGTTGGGTGTTTGTGCTTGCATTCGTATGCGTAGTGATGGAGGTTGGTTTATAACAGTGATTGACTGACAGTATTTACAATGTGCACATAAGAGAGGAGAGCAAATGACCGAAAAGCCGTGTGGTAATAATGTCTAATAAGAAAAACCCCCCTATAATCCCTAATGAATAAACAAAGACCCCAGCCATCTTGCTTCACACAAGAAAGAAAAGAAAGAAAGATGTAAAGATGAATGGATGTAATTCTTCTTCTTTACACGATCATAAGGTCAATTAACCCAACTTGTTGTTAACTTTGGTAATCCGAACAAAGAATCTGATATAAAAGAGGAAAAATAGAAGGGAAAAGAACACCCACCCAGATGATAAAAAAAACACGAAGAAAACAAAAAAAACCGAGAAGAAAAAAGCTAATAATATAGAGAAGAGCGAAATAAAACTATGGAACAATAGCAAAAGAACACCGATACCATATTTTAATACTCGTTCCCACGTTTCCCAAAAGCATGGGGAGGTAAAAAAAAACTGAAGGAAACATTAAACAAAAACAAGATATGATGCCCCGTTTGTGACAAAGACCCCACCAACACCCCGAACCGCGTTAATCAGTCATCATCGCAAGAAAGAAGCACAGCCTATACAATGGATCGGGTAGATATGGTTATACTAGTAAATCCACAACTAAACCGACACGAAACAAGCACATCACACCCCCAAACAACTAGACAGACATTTTCTTTCGTTTATTATTACTTGGCACACTTAGGATGTTCCGTTCGTGGCTGGCTTGGGAATACCAGTCAACACGGAGAATTGTCCACCAGCATCGGCAAACACCATTTCAACATCCTTGGTAGCACTGTTCTCGATCTTGGTGGGGAGCGGGACATCCACAGCTGGGGGGCCGTGTCCGGTCTGGTAAGAGTCGCCGAAGCCCCAACTGAAAGCGGTGCCGTCTACGTCGATGGCAATGTTATGGTGGGTTCCGCATCCAATCCACTTGAATTTGCGTTCCGAGATGACGTGAGGAACGGCCAAGAAGCGGGGCTTGCCGGAGATGTCGGAGATAACATCTGCTGGAGGTAGGGTCGTAAGATCAATACCGAGCTGGTTTGCGTCAAGACGACCCCACATGAGGAGCTTGCCGTCGTCGGTGATAGCGGCAGAGTGATGCTCTCCTGCCGCGACATGGACAATGTTGTACTGGTCGAGAGAGGAGATACGGGTAGGAACCGGGACCACAGTAGCGTCTTCGCCGGCTTTCTGTTCATCGTAGATACCGCATTGACCAAACTGGTTGAGACCCCACGCGTAGACCTTGCCGTCATTGGTGATAGCGAAGGAGTGGTATGAACCAGTGGCGACATTCTTGACCTTCTTGCGGGGGAGACCGAATTCACGGGGAATGAGACCGTTCAAACGAGTGCGCTCAACGACGCGACGGCCCAATTGGAACTGTTGACCATTCCCCCATGCATAAACGGAACCTGAGCTGGAAACCGCGAGGACGTGATCATTTCCAACGCTGATTTCAGTGACATTCTTGATCGAAGTCATGAGAGCTGGGCGGGGCTGCACGCGGATTTTATTGGTGTATCCCAAGATTCCATCGGCACACTGAAACAAATGAGTTAGTAAGATACGAGTCTAAGGGTGTTGGAGAGTCCTACCCTAAAAGTTCCCCAAGACCAGACTTTACCAGTATCTGTGACCGCGACAGAGATACTGTCGCCAGCAGCAATGCGCGTAATGACGGTTCCCTCTGGAAAGCTATCGATAAGCATAGGTGTGCTCTCCAATTCGTTCAATGGCTCCTCATCATCATCACTGTCGCTCTCGTCCACGTTCTTCTCGCGAGCCTCAACCTTGGTCTCACGACCAAGGGCGTACTGGTCATTGACACCCCAAGAGTAAACTTGTCCGGTGTGGGTCAACGCCAACCCGTGCATGCCTCCAATAGCCACGGCGACAACTCCGACCTTATCGGGAAGCAGGAACGGATTCAGACGCGGTCTCTTTACAATCTTCGCATTCGGCTCCGGCCCAAGACCCAACTCGGAATTGTCACCAGTGCCAAACGCGTAAACATTGAGTTTGAGGGAAGCAAGATTGTTAATCACGGGAGGAGAGGTGGTGCTCGTCTTCCCTCTCTTGCGAGGATGCGCCTTCTCGTGTTCAACTTCTTCAGGCTCGTTGAAGGATGATGAAGCGTTGAACGATTCTGACTGTAGTTGTTGTGACTGTGACTGCGAAGTAGGAGGGGAGATTGGTGTTTTCTTTCCCTTCTTTTCGGCAGCAGGCTTTTTGGCCTTCTCGGCAGGTGCGGCCTTTGTCTTTTCCGCGGCCTTGGAAGCCTTCTGGGGCGCCTGGCTCGCGGGCTTTTCGGCCTTCGCAGGCGCGACCTTTTTTGCGGCTTTGGGGGCAGTCTTTGATTTCGGGGTTGCAATTTTTCTGTCCTTTACATTGGTGCGTGGAGCGCTTGTGTTGGCAGCGGTTTGTTTTTCTTCGGCCTTTTTGGCCTCGGCAGCGTCTGCTTTGCGCTTTGATGCGCGGACGGGAGCCATGTCGTTGGTGAGAATCAAAGAGATTTTGAGGAATATGGAAAAAGGGTGACTTTGGGTTAGGTAAATTTGCGAATGGTTATTTTTGTTTGGGCCAGGTGGTTTTCTGGTTGTTGGGGGGATTCACTGCGCGTATGTGGCGTGAATTGTAACGAATAATGGATAGTGGCGTCGGAAATATGCCGTAGTAGTGAATGGAAGAGAGGAAGGAAGTGAAAGGATGATGATGGACAATCAAGGGGGATTGTGGAAGAAATAAGAGGAGGGAAGAGAAAGAGGAGAAAGAGGAGGAGAAGGAGGAGGAGAAGGAAGAGGGAAGAGGTAGGAGCGGGAGACTCGGGAGGAGTACGAATGGAAAAGGAATGGATGGGTTCGTTGGGTTTAGGTTTTTTGGGGGGTTGACCAAGAAAGTTGACTTTAGGAGGGATATTGTGTGTGCGTGGGATGAGCAGCAGCAACACGGTAAAACGACTTATTAAGCCAGTAGAGCCACTGTTGGATAGCGGTGAGGAAGTAGAGGAAGAGGAAGAATTGAAGATCCGTATTTCCACACCCAGAGCACGTAAATGCTTCGTTTGATGAAGTGTTTGGCCCTTCAGCACACGCCTTTTTGTTGTTGGGCTTTGTCACGTCCAAAAAATACTATGTGAGGTGAAACAACACACCACGGCAACTGATATCACTACCTACATCATACTCGCTGCGTCAACTCTGAAGGAGCGCAGTTGGATCAGTTGCCTACTCTCCTCTTTCTGAGGGTATGTACTCTACAAACATACCTGTATGTGCATACATGCATTCGGGTGAAAGAAGAAGCGAGGGGAAAAAACAACAAAAACAAAAAAAAACAAAGGTGGCTGGTGGTGTGCCTTTTCTAGAGTAGGTATGAGATGATGCATTCGTGGTGCCACAACCCCGGGCTTCGACGCCTGGACGCCAGGATTGGATGCCCGGTATGGTATGCTTCACGTGACAGAGCCTCTTCCCTCGTGTGTTAGTCCCCCACCACGATTCTATGATACAACTGCTCAGTCTGTGCAGCTGTCTGTTCTAGCAGCACCTCCGAATCTTCAACAATCCTCCTACATAGATGCTAATCTATTCCAAATCCCATAACCTACATCTCCCGCTTTTCCGGTAGACTTCCAACGCCATGGGCCAGAATTATTCGGCCTTGCCCGACCGTAACGTCGGTAGTGCTGGAATAGAGATCACTGAGCTATCGGATATACACTACGAAAGATCTCTTGGTTCGGCGCGCTTCCTGAAAACTATTCGTGCAAGCCATGATGACGGTCTGGTTGTTGTAAAAATATTCTTAAAACCTTCGCCAACCTTCTCACTGGAGGAATATCATTCACAAATCAAACGTGCGTGTCCCATGCATAGCTCATCCCCGCCTCTGGAGCTTTGTACATTGCTGAAATTAGCTTCTTCTAGACGAACAAGAATCTCTGGCAGACATCCCGAATGCCATCTCCTATCAGAGGATCATCGAGACGGATAAGGCGGGGTATATGGTTCGCCAGTACCTGTACAGCAGTCTCTACGATCGGATTAGGTGCCTGACTATCCTTCTCCATATTTCCGAAACATAAACTAACGCCTACCTCCGGCCCCAGCACACGTCCTTTTCTAGAAGAAATAGAGAAGCGCTGGGTTGCATTCCAGCTTCTTTGCGGCCTTCGCGACTGCCACGCTCGAGGGATTCATCATGGGGACATCAAAGCCGAGAATGTCCTCGTCACTACTTGGAACTGGATCTACCTCTCCGATTTTGCCAGGTTTAAACCGACGCATCTACCAGAAGACAACCCCGCGGATTTTTCGTATTTTTTTGACACGTCGGGGAGGAGGATATGCTACGTGGCGCCAGAGCGCTTCCTCGGCGCTGGCGAACGAAGCTCTGAGGCCAATCTTACCGACGAAATGGATATTTTCAGTCTTGGATGCGTTATTGCCGAGCTGTTCTTGGAGGGGACACCTTTATTTACCTTATCGCAGTTGTTCAAGTACCGCTCGGGAGAATATGATCCTGTGACTCATCTAGAAAAGATCGAGGATCCGGATATTAGGCACATGGTGCAGCACATGATAAATCTTGACCCCTCAAAAAGGCACTCTGCAGAGCAGTATCTAAATTTGTGGCGTCGCAAAGCTTTTCCAGAATACTTTTACAGTTTTCTTCATCAATATATTGGTTTCATCACAGACCCTACATCTGGGCAGGGGTCGCTTGTTGCTGTCGACGAACGGGATCTAGCCAACCAGGCGGACGATAGAATTGATAGGATCTACCATGATTTTGACAAGATAGCGTTTTTTCTAGGTTTCGATCAGTCCCAAGATACTAACGGCGGAGGACAGGAGAAGCGGATTGCTTCAAAGGACAATATTATACCAGTTCATCTGGATATACCCAACTATCAGCGACGTTCATCAGCTGTACGAAGGAGGGCAATAAGCTCTGACGATGGCACGTTGATCTTTCTGAGCTTAATCTCTTCCAGTGTGCGGAACACGAGCAGGGCTACTGCCAGAGTGAGGGCTTGCGACTTGTTTCTAGCTTTCGCGGAAAGGTGTACAGATGAAGCAAAGATGGATAGATGTTTACCGCATCTCGTACTGCTATTGCAGGACAAGTCCGTTATAGTTCGAGTGGCTGCTCTGAGAACCGTTACGCAACTGGTCGGTTCTCTGCTTCATTTTATTACTACCATATCAGATCAATATCTCTTTTGTCCTTCTTGCTGTTGCTATTACTTTTTAATGAAGCATTTTCTGATACTGCTCTTATCTCCGTGATCCAGATGGAACTCGTCGAAGTCGTCTCTCCTGTAAACGCTCATGTCTTTCCGGAGTATATACACCCAAAGTTAGACAAATTCGTCGACTCTGATCACATCATCATCCGCTCCACCTATGCTTCATGTCTTGCCTCACTAGCCGACTCGGCCTCCAGATTTTTGGACATGGCGCAGGCACTACGGGCCTCTGGAGCCCTCCCCACTGCGGACCCCGAAGCCGAGGGCGACGCCCCAGCGACCGAGTCCGCGCTTTTTGACGTTGCCCGCGCTGACTTGGTATCATTTTTCAGCGAGCACTCTAAAATACTGCTAACAGACCCCTCCTCATCTGTGCGCCGCGCTTTCCTACGCAGTGTCTCCCGCCTCTGCGTCTTCTTTGGCAAAAACAAAGCCAACGATGTAATCCTATCACATCTGAATACATACCTCAACGACAAAGATTGGATGCTGCGCTGCGCCTTCTTCGAGACCATTACCGGCGTCGCAACATACATTGGCGGCACCGCGCTCGAGGAGTACATCATGCCTCTCATGGTGCAATCCCTAACGGACCCCGAAGAGTTCGTTGTTGTCAAAGTTCTTGGGTCCCTAACCGGGATGGCAGAAGTTGGTCTCCTCGGGCGAGCCAAGGTATGGGAGTGCTGCGAGGTCGTAGGAAGGTTCATGGTACACCCGAACCTATGGGTGCGGCAGGGCGCGGCGGCTTTCATTGCTGCGGGGACAAAGTGGCTGAGCCCAGCTGATGTGCACTGTATCGTAGCACCGATGGTCAGGCCGTTCTTGCAGAATGATGTGGTTTCGTTGGACGCATTGAGTATCCTAGAGAATCTCAAGAAACCAGTAGGTCAATCCTTGCCTTGTCATGAAATATCACTCGTTGACGTTAGGCGCTAGTTATCGAGGAATGTCTTTGATATGGCAGTTACTTGGGCGACGCAAACGAGGAGAGGTATCTTCTGGAATGCGGCGCAAGAGCAGAGGACTTTTGCGTATGGAAGTGTGATGGAGGCGTTTCCGAAGGCTGGGGTGCGTGATGTCGGAGTCAACATGTTTATGAGGGTACCCAAGAACGAGGAGTATGTTTATGAAACTACTGCTTTCTATACTAAATATGTAAACGCTGACATGAGTATAGAGACGAGAACTGGCTTGGGAAACTCCGAAACCTTGGCATGACCGCAGAAGACGAATGGAAAGTCATTGCCCTCCGCGAATACATCTGGCGCATGGCACAATCAAAAACACAGCTCATATCCGACGACACGCCCTCGGTGCTTAATAGCACCATATCATTGAAGAACCTGAACATCACCCCTCAAACCATTTTCTTCGACGAGAACGAGTCGTTTTTCTCCCTCGCCGCGGACACTTCTCCGTCGACAGGTAATAGGCCGCACACAATCGCAGATGCGCTTTTGGACGCCAGCAAGACAATTGATGCACCAAGGCGCTCCCTTTCAACTAGGTTGAAAAGGCCTCCGGGAATGGAGATCCGGCGGTCCCGCCTCGGCGGAGATAGCATGTCAATGTCTGGCTCTGGACCTCCGACACCAACTGCTGAGACCTCGGCGCCACTGGCAGTACCAGTCGTCACAGTAGCTGGTAGCAGTGAATCGAGTACCGCGGCAAGCTCAGTAGATAACAACCATAATGGCGGTGGCCCCGCATTGTTGAGAAGGAAGCCGAGCACGCTTAGCTTACTAGCCCGGGGTCAAGAAGCCGGGAAGGCGCCTCCAGAGACCGGAACGGTATCGGTGTCAGCATTCGGCCGAGTCGAGCACCCATTCACACGCAACGCAGACGGCGCACTAAAGGTCACGGAGACGGTAGAAACACCGGTATTTAAGTTCCGTGGTGCACACTCCTATGACGGCAATGACCCGCATATATTGAAGCTACTCGACGCGATGTACCTGCAGAACTACCCCAGCGACATCCTCGAGTTCGGTCCTGCGATCGTTCCCATCCCAACCCAGCAGCGGCGCACACCAATCAAAAAATCGAGTGGTCGACCGGCGGGCGGGACTTGGAAGCCGGAGGGTGTGCTGGTTGCGCAGTTTGGTGAGCATACCGGCGCGATCAATAGGGTTGTTGTGGCGTCAGATCATAATTTCTTTGTTACCGGGAGTGATGATGGCACGGTGAAAATATGGGATTCAAGTAGATTGGAGAAGAACGTTGCGTTTAAGGCAAGGCAGACATATAGGCATGCAACTGGGTCTAAGGTGAAGGCGCTATGCTTCGTCGAGAATACTAGGTGCTTTGTGTCCGCGGCCACGGACGGATCCGTGCATGTGGTTAAGGTGGATCTACAATTGACGGGCCAGGCAGCGAAGTATGGGAAGTTGAAGGTAATGAGGAATTGGCAGTTGCCCGAGAAGGAATATGCGGTGTGGATGGAGCACTTTAAAGCAGGTAAGCGTTAAATCATGAGCGATCGAAAACCCGTCAAGCTGATCATTGATTACAGATACCCATTCGATCCTACTAATCGCGACCAACAATTCCAACATCTATGGACTGGACCTGAGGACTATGCAGATCCTCTACACTCTCAAGAACCCCATGTTCCATGGCACCCTGACCTGCTTCTGTGTCGACCGTAAACACAATTGGCTCATCGTCGGCACCTCTCACGGCCTCCTAGACATGTGGGATCTCCGTTTCCAACTCCGCCTGAAAGCCTGGGGCCTCCCCGGCTCGGCACCCATCCATCGCGTCTCCGTGCACCCCTCCAAGGGCCGCGGCAAATGGATCATAGTCGCCGGCGGCACCGGCCACGGCGAGCTCTCAGTCTGGGACTGCGAAAAAACACAATGCCGCGAGGTCTACCGCGCCGGTGGCAAAGACAGCGGAAAGGGCTACGAGCCATGGAACGTCGAAGACGAGTCTTCGGAGAATATGCTCACCCGCTTCGCCACCACCCCGACCCACCTCGAGTCCGGCGGCGCCAGCAATGGCGACCGCGGGGTCCGCGCGTTTGTGGCGGGGCTGGATGTCACCGAGGACAGTGGAGAGTCGAGGACGATGCCTGGGTTCATTATCTCGGCCGGGGCAGACAAGAAGATCCGCTTTTGGAACTGCTCGAAGGTCGAGTCGTCGATTGTTGTGAGCGGGCTTGATGCGGAGGAGCTGAAGCCGACGTTTACGACGTCGCATCCGACGTCGACGCTGACGTTGAATACGGAGCGGGTTCCGGCGCCGGCGGGGTCGACTCCGGAGGCGGCGAGCAGTAGCGGCGGGAGGGCGCTGCTACCTGGTGCGGCGGGAAGCAGTACGGGGAAGAAGGCGGCGAAGGCGAGTGGGAGGACGCCGAGGAGTACGGTGATTAGCATGCAGCAGCAGCAGCTGTTGAAGTGTCATTTGGACTCGATCTTGGATGTATGTGTTCCCCCCCCCCACTCACCCTCTTTTCTTGGGTAGTTTATGGTAGTGTGCTGATTACCGATGATGGTGGTAGGTGGCGTTCTTGGAGGTTCCGTACGGGATGATAATTAGCGTTGACAGGAGCGGTGTGATATTCATTTACCAGTGAAGAGCCGGAGCAGCAGGAGCAGTCTAGGGGGGCGCTTAAATTCACATTCTAATTCTTCTTGGAGTGGCGTTTGTTGATGATTCCTATTTTGTTTCTACATATGTTGTTTGGTGTGCGCGTGCTCGGTAAATGATATTCCACAAGTTTTTTTTTATTATGCAAGAGAAAAAGAGGGGTGTTTGATCATTGGCAGTGGGTAATAATTGTGATCTTTTTTAAGGGCTAGGAAGGAAGGAAGGAATGGCTAGGCCGCATTCGGGTTTTAAGTAATTTGGGGGGCGTGTACTAGTCTTGTTGAAGGGTAGGAGTACATGTAGGGTTTTTTTATGCGGGTGCAATATGATGTGGTATTTGGTCAATCTGCGAGTAGGCTTTGCCTATAGATCCGGCGGGCGGTGTAGTGATACTGCCTCTTCGCCGCCTGGTGCTCCCCATAACCAGGTCCACAAATCACCCCTATGCACACCAAAGCCCCGCCAGAGTCCCATCGCACCCGTAAAACTGAATTAAAACCCACCCCCTCTACCGGTAACAAGTAGCCGTAAAAGAAACCCCCCCCCCCCCCCCACAAAAAAAAAAAAAAAAAGCAGAAAAAACGCCCATCCCAATCCCCACAACTCTAAAACCCCATCTCAACATCACTATCACTCCCGTCCCCCCTCCCCCCTCCACCCCCGTGGGCATCATCCTCCTCCTCCTGGTCCCGGCGCTCGACATCCAGCTGCTGCTGCAGCACCATGGAGTACACCGACGCCTTGAGCAGCGTGAATACCAGCCCCGTCTTGCGCTCGAGCCCGCGCAGGCTGTCGAGGATCTTTGCGGTGGGGAGGCCGGCGATGTCGGCGATTGATGTGCCGAGCTTGGTGTGCGTTAGCTGTCTGCGAGGTGGAAGGTGTGGGGGGAGGTATGGAGGGGGGGGGGGTAGGGGGAGGTAGAGGGGGAAGGGGGAAGGGTGAATGGGGAATGGGGGGGGTACTTTGTTGAGGTTCTCGAGGAGGCGCGCGTATTCGTCGAGGACCTCTTGTTCGAGGGGCGTGAGGGTTTGCGTGTTGGAGGAGAGGAGGCTGGGGGGTGAGGCTGACATTGTGGGTTTGCGGCGTGGTGCGGGTGTTTTGGGGGAGTGGTGGTCGGTGGTGGGGGGCGCGGTGTGAATCCTTGTATTAGGTAGTAGAGTGGGGTGAGGTGGAGCGCGGGCAGGGTGTGTTCTTATCGATTGTCGACTGTGTGGGGATGCAACCAGGGCTCCTAGCTACTAAGGTACATAATTTCTAACAGCTGTCCCGAGTAGAGAACAACGAATATATCTGGCTGTGGTTTGATCGCGCAAGTAGTTGTAGTTTGTTGCGCCCTATAAAATCCTTAACTACAGCTTGGCTTCAATTGCATATTTCAAAAGTTGTATATCCCTTAATTCCACGACTGCGAAAACCGAGTGAATATGTAGTTATGATTATTCAAAAAAAAAAGCTTATATGTATCAAGCTGTTTACTCCAGCTACCAGTTCAAGCTTGATCAATTGGCAAGGCAGTAACTACGTCTTCTTGATCGAAACTACCACGCGACAAGTCCACCTCCCCTAGTTAACCCCAAGAACAGCCACTGGCCACAATTGAACCCAATTGACTCTGCTACTTACTTCTAACCATTCCATCACTTTCTAGTAACCAAAAGAAAAACACTTTTTTTGCAAAGGAAAGAAGAAGAAAAAGCTAATTATATTACGCCTCTAAGAATTTTTGTTTTCAAAAAAAAAGGAGAAGCACCCGCACAAGAGCAGACAAGACAAGAAAAAGCGAGAGAGAGAAAAAGCGAGAAAAAGATTCATAAAATACCCACCCAATTGCGAACCGCTACCACTTTTATTTCCAGTCTAAGCATCCGCACTGACACTCTGCGGCTTCAAAAAGTCCGGATCATTCTCAAACTCCTCCTTGACCTACACCCCCCACCTCATTAGCGTCACCCTCCCACCAAAACTCCCCCCCCAAAAAGGAAAAACAACTCACGATATCCAACCCCCCCACCAGATTCCCCTCCAAATACAACTGCGGATACGTCGGCCAGTCCGAAAACTCCTTCAACCCCTGCCTCACCTCATCATCCGCCAGTATATTAAAAAAGCCATAGCGCACGCCCTTCTCCCTCAGCAGCCCCACCAGCGTCCTCGAGAAGCCGCACTGCGGCGCCGCCGGCGTCCCCTTCATGAACAGCATCACCGGCGCGGCCTTGACCAGCTTCTCCAGGCGCGTCTTGATGTCTTCCGTCTGCGCCTCCTCCCCTCCCGCCTCGGTGGTGGGGGGTGCGGCGGGGGGTGCGGTGGTCTCCTGTGCGGGGGGCAGAGCGGTGGAAGAGGCGCCGGAGTGGGTCTCGATGGCGGAGCGCAGCTCTTTGGGGTCGGCGCCGGAAATGCGTTTTACGACTGTGGCATCGCGGAGGAGGACGAAGTAGGGGACGGCGGAGACGTCGTAGGACTCGGAGATGTCGGGGAGCTCTTCGGCGTCGATGGAGAGGAAGTGGGTGGTTGGGGGGGCGGTGGTGGCGAGCGCTTTAAACACTCTGTAAATTGCGGTAGTGGGTTAGCTTGGAGAGCTGGGGGAGGGGAGGTGAAGGTGAAGGGAGGGAGGGGGGAGGTTACTCGTTCATCTGCTTACACGGCTCGGCCCAGGGCGTGTGGAAGTTCAATGCGACGACGGCGGTGGGGGGCACGGCCTCGATGAGGGCGTTGAACTGGTCGACGCTGGTGATGTCGGTGACTTCTGGCATTTTCGCGGTGTTTTCTGCTGGTCAATATCTTATTCCACTTGACTTCAGTTGTGTTGGTGAGAATGTGTCCAGGTTTCGATCTGATTGACGTTGGGGGCACGATCTGATAAAGAGACCGAGAGAGAGAGAGAGAGAGAGGGAAAGGGCGGGGGCGGGGTGGGGTGGGGTGGGGTGGGGTGGGGTGGAGTGGAGTGGGGCGAGAGTGAGGGGTGCCAAGCCAGAGAAGAAAAAGAAAGGGCCCGGCGGGTTCGGATGGGGATGGCGCTATGACGTGCTTGATGGCTGGCTTAATTGATAGATAAGCAGCAACCCGGGAAATCTTCGCGGGGGCGGGGCTGGAGGGGGGGGGTGGGTTAGGGTTGCGGTGGTGGGGTGAGCGAAGGGGGATGGGAGAAGGTTTGCGCGGAGCCGGAGTTGGTCACTGGTTTCAAGCGTACTCGGTGGTAGTGATTGACTCATATTACAATGTCATGTGCATGTAGTTACAGTAGTAGCACATCAGCTCTGACAGCGAGAGCACCACAGCGAGTGATGGCTGGAGACCAGTGACCGAAAATACATGTATTCCGTTGCCATCCCCCCCCCCCCCGCGCCCCCAAAAGAAACCCTACCCCCTCTGTGTAACACCCAGTATTTCCTGTCTGTCCGAACATTTCCCTTCCTTATATAATCGAATAATAAAAAGCCTCTTCTCTCCCTCCCCCGCCCAAGTGGCTACAGCACCCTGAGACGACCCGGACAGAGCACGGAAAACCCTAGGACGCACGATATATCCTACGCAGGGCACCGTCGAGTCGATCTTGGCATCGTTCAGTGGGCGTCGGGTTGTCGAGTGAGAATCTGTGACGGGACTCTAGCACTCTGGCTGGCTAGATGGTGGGCTGGGTTGCTCTTGTGCGTGTGGATTGTGTATGAGTTGGATAAGTTCGTTGTTTGCCGTTGTAGCAGCGCTTTGATTTTCATCTGGGTACGAACTGTTTCGTGACTTGCACACTGGGTGGGTGCTGGTCTGCGTATACATACACGCGAGAGTTGACAAGTGGCGGAAGCATCCAGGCTTTAACTTTCTCTACAAACGTTTCGTATGGAATTTCTTCGTTGCGCGGGAAGAAGAGGCGGCCGAAATGCAAAGATGGCGTAGGGAGAATTCGGAGGCAGAAGGGTAAGATGGGCGGGACGGGGCAAAAAAGGTCACGATTCGAGGGAGCTCGGGTCGGGTTGACCTGAGGAAAGATCGGAGCTTACTAGCGATGCCACTTGCATGGAATGCTAGCTGGTCACGTGAAGGTCGTAACAGGTCGCAACTTGTTTAAAGACAGCAAGCTCTTATCGGCCGCAGGGTTCTGCCTGAGGGATTGAATGGGTCTTGAATTACGTCCCATGGTTTATGGCTTTTCTTCTCCTTCGCTTAGTAGGCGATTTCCCACCCCCTACTGGCTAGCTGGACAGTTAGCTAAAGGTTAATCAACAGCGCCCTGACTTTGGCAAGCTTAGAATCGGTTATTATATGCAGATTGCTTCCCTAATGGGCATCCTACTACAAATGGCCACAAGAAGCCACGGGTACTGGATACAGACGAAGTGATGTCTAGGGTTGCATGTGCATGTTGAAGCAATCAATTAATTAGTCGCTCTAATTAGCGGGCTTCAGATGTCCCGAGTGACCGGTAAAGATCGGGAAACCGCGTAGATTACTAATCAGATCTTCATATGAATAGGAGATTAAACCTTCAACTTTTAAGCACCAGTACATCGTTATACGTAGGATGCCTTTTCGCTGCTTAAAAACGTGTCCAACGGTCACCCGCCCAGATCCCCCATTCTTGTAAGTATCCGGACCACAAGCTCCATACATATATGACGACTTGTGAGAGGTGTATATTTGAGCGATTATTAAAGTGCAGAAAGGAGATTATGGCAATATAAACACCCACCCCACGGCCACTACGTCCCGAGGATTGATCTATGTAGTGTTAGATTAATTCCCCATAAGATACCCTATGCAGGAGCTAGGCATCAATTAAAAAAGGGGAGAGTAGCGCCGGCACTGTTTGCAGAATATATATTGCCTCTATATTGTGTTGCATCTCGGCATAGGATACTCACTCAGAGTATATACGTATTCAGAGGGGGAAAATACGTATACACGTGCACGTGTGGGATAACATATCCGAAGTATTAATAGCTTGGGGTAGTGCCGGCGTGCCTTGCAGGATTCAGGGGAAGGAATACAGAGCTACCAAAGACGCGATTCACTATTCGCGAGTTGGTCACTGTTGGTGAGGTTGGTGAGGCTGTCGAGCGGTAACAATGCACACAGGATATGAGAAGCAACCCGCGGATGGTCGCATGCGTATATACTCTCAATGCAATGCATAAGAGGTTATCAAATATCTGAAAGTCCCAGAAATACAGATTTGGCATATGTGATACGTATTGGCGGGGCTTTATACGTATTGGCGGGGCTTTATACGTATTAGCGGAGCGTGTGTTTTGGGGAAGGATGCAGTTGGAAAGCCTTCTAAGATAACAAGACATAGGATTTGTGTGTTGATCATGTTGATCAGGGTGTCTTCTTTCAAGTATGTATGCATACAGAGTAATTCACATGGAATACCGTATTTGTGGGCCCCTCGGCAAAGTAGATTTTTAGACCGTTTGAACTCTAAACGTCTTTAGTAATTGGGGCAATAGAAATATAGAAATCTTATTTGCTAAATTCATGATAGTTTCAAAATACTTTTTAACACTCGCACGTCTCGAAATTAAGGCTATGATATCCAAATGCCGTTTCCAACATTCCTAAAATTACATTACAATCTCGCCCGAGACAGTCCCGAGACAGTATCAGTCTCCAGCGTCCATCTCAGCCACAGGGTTGGCATGTATGGTGATTTTCTGGATCTTGGTGACTTTCTTCGGCCTCCCCTTCTTGTCGACCTCCAAAGCCTCCAACTTATCCAGCGTATCCAACCCATCGATGACCTAATCACACGCAAAACCCCCCATCAGTCTTATTATTCCAACACAACCCACGGCTATCTCCAAGGCCATACCTTGCCAAAGACCGTATTCAGTCCATCCAGATGCGGATGGCTCCCATACGTAATAAAAAACTGGCTCTGGTTCGTTCCCGGGCCCGAATTGGCCATGCTCACAACGCCCCTCGCGTTGTGCCTCAGCGCCGGCCGGATCTCATCCTCAAACTTCTCCCCCCATATGCTCTTGCCGCCCTTTCCGTTGCCTAGCTCGCCGTCTCCGGTCTGTACCATGAACGTCTTGATGCTGCGGTGGAAGGGACAGTCGTTGAAGTAGCCGGACGCGCATAGTGCTAGGAAGTTCTCGGCTGTCTTTGGTACCGCCTCGCAGAAGACCTCAATCTTGAGAGGACCTAGGTCTGTGTGCAGTGTCACAGACATAGTTGTAGTTTTGATCAAGCCAACACGGGAGTGGCTGTTCGTAGAGTGGGCTAGTAGCGTTGGTGGACGTGTCGTTGTCGCGGTAGAGCCTCAACTTTATCTTAGCGTGGGGACGACCAGCCAAATGCACAGGCTATCACTCGTTGCTAGGGTGTTGATGTTGTTTAAACCGTTGATCATTATAATGACGAAAATGTTGACTTTTTTCCTTCCAACCCAGACAGAAATTTATATAGTCGTGGGTCTATATTTATTGGATCCTGATAAGTATTTTTGGGCATTTCAATCAGGTAGGTCGATAGTTTTTATTCCTTAGTTCGACGTATCTAGTGAATACCTCACTGTAGACTCAGCTAGAGTCACTATGCAGTGATGCATAAAAAAAAGACAAAATAAAGACCCCTCGCACTTCCTATAGGAATTTCTAATGCCCAGTTTCACACGCACAAACCCAATATAATTTACCCAAGCACCGCTCGCACAATCAAACCAGCCGACCCACACCCCAAACCCAGTCAAGACCCCAGATCATAACTACCCCAACCAAGCCCGCGTGATATTACGATAGAAGGGTTGTAGAAAAGAAAAATAGAAGAAAGAAACGAATCAGGCACGGCGATATATGATGCGAATCACCGAAGATATACCGTGATACACCTCAGCCGTAATGCCTCCCTATGGGTTGAATAAGGAATAAGAAGTTTGGAGAAGAAGGTAATATGTTTCCGAGAAGAAGTGAAGAAAAGAGAACAGTCTTGTACGAAACGAGATATATAGCAGCGCATAGAGCAAGGAAAAGCAACAATTCAAGAATATCTTGGACCTGAGAGCAAAATAGTTTACGGGGTATAAAACAAGTTACATGAAAGACGCAAGAAAAGTCTGGAAATCAGGTCCGAAAATGAGTGACACAAGATAAAAAATCGCTCACTGAGGCTTCAAAAAGGGATAACAAAAGGGAATAATAATAAAAAAAAAGCCAGCCAAACTCCGTGCCCGGAATATTTAACAGAACAAATGAATAAGGAAAAGATAAAAACAAAAACAAAAACAAAGAAAAACCGTCATTAAGATTTGGCAACTCAAATTATCTAAACTCATCAAAATAAACGAGTTGGGAAATTATTGAATTACGAATGCGTTAAAAGGAGGCCGGCGATGATGTTTTTCCAGACCGAGGAACATTCAAATCTTCTCGAAAGCGGCTGGAGCCCTTTTGGGTGATTTTTCGCTCAGGTGTGCGCGGATCCTCATCATGTAATCGGCCGCTCACCGTTTCCTCGGGTTGATCACTCGAAAATCCTGCGAAATCCGACCCCTGCGGATCATTGTCGATTGTCTTTTGCCAGTGCTCCGGTAAACAGACGCACACAAGAGGGAAAGCTTTGATTTCGATCCCAGGCGGAGGAGAGGACGACCGGCGTTGACTGGCACGTGAAGTATGTGCCGATACACCACTATCACGAAGCTGGCGGTGGCTTACATAATCTTCTGCTCTTTCATTCAAGCGAATACCAGTAGCCCATCCTACCGAATGTTAGTAAATATCGCCTAGAATAAAAAGTAGATATAAATCACCATCGTCCCAAATGCCCACAACTTTGAGCATATCGCCTCGATCTAAATCAAACTCGTCGGCGGCTCGGGGCTGGTATGCCCACAAAACTGCGACTTTGTCATTTGGATGAATATCATCCTGGGAATAATAATCCTAAACTGGAGTCAGCACAGGAACAAGATACATGTAACTCATAAGGAAGAGGGAATACCTTGAAGTATGGTAGCTGTTCGGATTGTGGACTAGAAAATCTAGGGGATGACATATCCCTGTCGCTTCTAGTAACGGGAGATGAATTATCCGACATCAGAATCGAAGTGCTGGATAAAGATGCATTTCGATCACGGGGTGGAGGGTGTAGGGGCCGACCAGGCGAGTATCTTCGAGGTTGGTTGGTGTTTGGACTATCCTCTAAGCCAAAATCAGAGGACGAAGAATTCTCAACGACCCGAATATGTCCACGTCTGGCACCACCAATCACACCAGGAGATGAAAGGTCTATATCTGAAGCCCCACCTGTCCCTTCAAGCGCTGACATTCGCGCAATCCGTCCAGTGAGAACCTCATACCCTTGGGCCTGTACGCTTGTTGCAGCAACTGGGTTGAAAGTCATTGAGGGGCTTCGATGTTGTCGAGATTGTTGGTTGAAGGTAGGCGGAGAGTTCCCATATCTTTGCCGGCGTCGATATAACAAAATAAGCATAACCACCAGCGCTACACCAGCAACAGCTCCAATAGTGATTCCTGCAATCTGTCCCCCAGTAAGACCCGATCCACCACTTGAGCCCGATGCGCCAGATGATGATGTGCTGGTTGACGAGGAAACTGCAGTTGTTGTAAATATTGGGGGTAAAGAAGTGACTGTTGGCAAATCAACGTTCTCACACCGCGTCTCAGCATTGGAATTATAGCAGCAGGTATCAGTTGAGTTTGGCGAATTTGTTGCACAGTATAAACAAAGACCAGGGAGATTATCACTGTCAATTATCAGCAATGCCATGAGTATCCCGTGATCGAGTAGAATTACTTATAACCACAATTCGTGGTTTCGTTTTCATCGGCAGGGACACAGTTTGAATTCAGAGAGTCCGATGGCAAAGCGCATATGGTAAAATCAGACCGGATTAGACCGAGAGCATCTTGGTTAGTACTTCCACATGTTCCCTCATTTGAAATTATTATTTGCTCGCTGATAGCAAATTGAGCCTATGTTCGATTAGTCAAAAATCGATTTCAAAAGAAGACATGATGACCTACACAGGCATCTGCACAAATTGGTGCTGACTTCGCTGTTGTAAGGGAGCATGCTGTTCGTGAATCCTGAATCATTCTAGAACAAAGAACACTACGGGTGTAGCGTGCATATAATTCAGTTGTATTTGAGAGTGTTAGGTTGGAACAGCCAAATAAATTTTGATATCTGTTAGGTTAAACAAACCAAATTAGAAATTGATATTTATTAGAAACAAAATTATTACTCAAGGGAAACTTACTTATTCTTGGCATAGTCTTGTTTGATATATTGTTCGAACTGGGTATCAAATTGTTCGGTGCTAGAAACATAGGCAAGAAATGGGCTATGATAACGCGTTAGCTCATAAAATTTTAAATAGTACATGTTGGGGAAGACATACTACTCGCCAGTAAGAGAACTTGAGGTAGAAATAGAGGATTCGTTAAACGCTGGACAGGTACGTGATCCAGAAAGTGAGATACAATTGCCGGAGGAAGAAGTTTGAGCTGCTGCTAAAGGCAAAAATACAGTTGATAAGATTACCAAAGCTGCTCCACTCAAAGTTAACCGTCGTGTTGTATGCCGAGATGAAGGCATGTTATCGGTTGCTGATGTTGGTGCATCACCGTCCAGAAAGGAGGTATCACGATTGGCGAGGCGACTACTGTTGTTATTGGAACAACGTCCTTCACCAGCAAAATTCGTGGCTGTCATTGACCCGATTTCAAGATCCACAAGGCGCCAGCTCTCTCGAGCGGGCTCTATTTTTTCCCAATTTCGTGGGGGGGTGGGAGTAGCGGGGATGGGCTTAGGCTGCGGTAGCAGCGGAGAAGTAGCAGCAATTGACTGCTGCTAGGACGTGAAGGTGGGTAAGAAGAGAAGGAAAGAAGAGCCCCGGAAAAAAACCCTCTCAGCCGCCAGGAACACCACAACTGACAAAAACGAGTGACTAGGGACTAGGGAGGGGTGGGCGGTTGGGGACAGGAAATGGTGGGAAGGAGCGTGAGCAGTACAACAGGACTCGCAGTAGGTACAGTCTGTAGCAGTAGTAGCAGCAGCAGCAGTAAGTGAACGACAGTTGGTTGGTGGGCTGCTCAGGGCCAGGTGGATAAACGAAATGTACAGCACTGAACTGGCAGACACTCAACTCCAAGCTAAGTGGCTGTAAAGTACATGTATGAACTGAGGTCTGGATGTCTCTGCTAGATTCTCTGGGATCGAGTCCAGGGGGGAAAGTAGTGAAACCTCCGAAAGAAAGGCTACATACACGAGTTCGCTTCACTGCAGAGAAGGCGTTGGTATGCTACAAGTGACTTAGCGTGGGCGTCGGGAAATGAGATGATGCACGGACAGACGCGCCAGGAACCACGACGGCACGTTTAATCGGCCACATCCCCCGCCCAACTAGGATGCTGATGGATCCGCATATAAAAATCTCCCAAGAGTGTTGAGTTCACACATGCAGCATCTCATAATTCATCATAATCGTCACTACTGCACTGCAGCATCATGCAATAGAAATACTTTAATTGCGCAAAACCCCACAGTTGGGAAATATATCTGCATACAAAAATGCAATTCATGTCACGTATCTCAAACAAGGGGTAGTTTAGGATACTGATCTGTGGGTATAAATTTATTCACTCTAGATACTTACTCTGTATAATATGTATCTACATCAAATATAAACTGCTCTCGAAGGGAAAGCTTTGGTCATGTCAGGTTATTTCAAGCGCTCACTCGAACGCGAACACAATTCCTTTGGTGAAATGAGTTAGGCACAAGACTCAAGGTAATCCCTTGATATGAGCTTTCATCAAACTCCAAGCAAAGAGTCATCTGGATTTTATCACATACCCTATACCATGCAAGTACGTGGAATTAATTAAGCAAATAGTGCAGAAGAGAGCAGGATGTCTATTGGTTGTTTCAACAGCAAACAACCCTGGCGTTTATTTCAGGCATAGCTACATGTAGATCTCACAGAATAGTACTTAGTCAGTATTGAGTCATCGTTGTTCTTGTTCTAAAGGGCCGGCAGGTCGAGCTTTGAATACACGTCCATTTGAACTCTTCGGGGTTTTAATAAATACGTGTAGATACATGTATGTATGGTATCTAGTTGCAAGTACTGGAGACTGTGGGGTTTTTAGAATAAAGGTAGATAGAAGCTTTAATTTGTGAAAAGCCTAATGCAAGCGGCACGGAAGTCGAGGTCAATTACAGCGTTATTTCGAGGTTTTGCTTTTTCTTATTAGTTGATCATGAATATAACAATAAAGCCTAGTCTTGTTTTTTGGCATAGAAGTTACATGTAACACTCTATTGACAACAGTAGACCTGCTACATGTAAGCCGTCAGGCCGGATCCAAATCGTGTTACTCAAACCTAATACAGAAGTCGTGATATAAAAACTCACGATTTTACACTAGCTCTTATGTCAAAACCGTGATAGATCACCGGCCTCATGATTGACACTCCTCTAGTGCGATGTTTATATCACGACTTCTGTATTAGGTTTGAGTAACACGATTTGGATCCGGCCTGACAGCTTAAGGGATATCAAACTACGCCTCAAGTCATCATTAGAAAGAGTGCTCCACCTATAGCTACCTACGTGTACCTACTCTACATCGACAGGCATGCGCATGCGCACTGATAAACGCAGCGCAGATCCAGTAATTCAGACATGAATGATAGATGACTCAGCGCTAAGCTAACTATAAATGGTCCTTGATACCGGTAGCACGGGTCAAGCTGTTTCCGGAATCATGAGAGAGACAGCACCACGAATCTGTCAAACTTCACAACGCGTGTCACCAGGATTGGGCTCAACCTCATCGGCATTTTCGAGCCTCAATTGTGTCTGTGCGAACAGTCTCTAGAATCAATCCCTCTCAACATAGTTCGGTCATAGTTTTGAAAAGGAAAAAAAAATAAAACAGTCCCGGAGATAAGCGGATTGTCACTGAAAATGGGAGCTGCACAGCCTGACACAGTTACAGAGGTTGAGAAAGGTCAAACAAAGGTTGATGCTGGATTACTCCCGCGAGATCATTGTAGGTAGTTCCGGAACCAAATCATGGAGCTTTGCAGGTTAATTTTTGGTGCTTAGACAAGTACCGACTACCACGATGGCGGTACATGGCGCGACAGAAATTGTTGCCCCTGGTTAGATGGGAAACACCGTACCTTGCATACTTCCAGGTGAGTTATAATATAGTTGACATACTGATTAGATTCAGTATTGATGTTTTTCATCATATCAAAGGAACATTGCAGAACACCCTTTCTCGATTCGTATTTTGCGCTCACAGCCAATCTCGGCACTCATACCTTCTTCATGATAATGCTACCGGTGTTATTTTGGTTTGGATATACAACTCTTGGGCGAGGGTAAGTAATCTTCTTATCTAAGTATCTGTAGGGGACATTTTCTTAAGTTTTGTGATTCAATCAGGATGGTGCATATCTTAGCTTCAGGGGTGTTCTTCAGTGGTTTTTTGAAAGATCTATTATGGTAAGTTTCTCGTCATCTACTAAAGGCTTAGTCAGTAGAAAATTATTAATAGCTTTAAGCCTACCGCGACCGTTATCTCCTCCTCTCCATAGGATTACCATGTCTGGGTCAGCGGCCCTTGAGTACGGGTTTCCAAGCACACATTCTACCAATGCCGTGTCTGTAGCGCTGTATGGAATTCTATCTCTCCGCTCTACTCCCGATGTATCAACCACCCTGCGACTCTCTCTCGAAGCTTTAGCATGGGTATATGCAATTTCCATTGTATTAGGACGACTGTATTGCGGTATGCACGGATTTCTAGACGTCATTGTCGGTATTTGCCTCGGCGCTGTTCTCGCGATTGTAGATTGGGTATCTCGGGATGCGGTTGATGCATTCGTCTTCAGCGGGTCTTGGCAGGTTCCTGTAGTCTTTATTGTGGTGGGCTTGATTATGGTTAGGATACATCCTGAGCCTGCTGATTCCTGCCCATGCTTCGATGATGGGGTTGCATTCGCTGCAGTGGTTATGGGGTGTGATGTGGGGCACTGGCATTATGCGCAGAGCTCCTGGAGCTGGAACGAGCCCGTTCCAGCTACAGTCCCGTACTCATATGAAGAGCTTGGCTTGACGAAAAGTGTATTAAGAGTGGTTGCCGGTAAGTCTAAGATACAGCTTTTCGGGGTGTTGAGTGTGGTAAATGATCAATGTAGCTGATCATCGTTCAATAGGCGTTTGTGTTATATTTGCATGGAGAGAATTTATGAAACCCACCTTACACCATTTTTTACCTCCTCTTTACAGAGTAATCGAAAGTATCGGTTTATCTTTACCACGAAAACATTTTACACCAGCTTCGTAAGCGTTCCTCTCTGCCTAGAATTCTCTCAAGTTATTAATATACAAACAGTGAATATAAAAAGGTCCCACGTTTGCCCGATGACACCCTTTTTGGTCTGAGTGAACTTCCTGCATTGATCCTCAACTTTCGTCGGCCGCGTTCTGACTCTGTCGGTCCCCAATCCGCCGCTGATGCTTATGAAACGCTTGCATATCGAGAAAAGAAGCGCCGGGAAAGCATTGGAACGAGCCAATCCCGTTCTCCTTCTGTATCCAGGGATGTAGCAAACTATGAGAACGAAATGGGCAGTGGGAACGTCGATGTTAAAGCGCTAGTTGTTGATTCAGATGATGAAAAGGCAGAGGCAGAGGTCTTTAGGAAGATCGAAAGGCCTAGAGTCAGGTATGATGTTGAGGTTGTGACAAAGCTCGTAGTATATGCTGGTGAGTTATGTGTCTTACTATCTGCACCGTGAAAGCTATTGTCTCTAATACCAGTCTAGGTATCGCTTGGTTTGCGGTAGAAGGAATTCCGATATTTTTGGAAATAATAGGGCTTGGGATCGCCTCTCATGGATTTGAAGCGAGGTAGATAGACTGAGTGGAGCGGACAGCGAGTAAAAATGTTGTAATTGGTGGTGTTTGAAATAATAATAGGAGTAATGGATACATACACGAGTTATGATGGTGGAGTTTGCTTTTTATTTTCTATTTCATGCAGCGCAGGTTACCCCCAGTTTTATATACCAACAAGTACTTGTATGTATGGTTTTCTAGAGATGGTATTTTTTTTACAATGTACTACTTCATACATGCATAATACGGATTCCTCTGGGCTTCTTATCTTCACATCGTTCTAAATAGGGTACGCGCCAACCTACACAGGCTGAGACATGTTTCGGCATGTCATAAAATGGTGACCCATGAGGCTCCATCGGGCCGAGGGTGTGTAGAGTATCACTCATGAGCCACATATCAACGCCACCGCCACCGAGATTATTTTTCGTGGTGGAGGGGTGAACTCAACTTCAGCAGGTGTCTTTTGGCTGGTAGGCTTCGTCTTGTCCTGTGCCGTCTCTTCATTCGCAGCTGTCTTCATCCGCTGCGATAGCAGATTCGCACATTCCTCATCTCTCATCCCTCCATCACCGAGGAGGTCCCAGGTCATCTCCCCCACTTACCAACTCCCCATCCCCATTCAATTGCAATCATCTCCCTCTGCTATCGCCGTTTCCGTCCATTCCCTGGAATGTCATGGCCTCGAATTCTGGTCATGGCAGTTCCTTGTCCACAGTTGACAATCCCAGAAGCAATTCTGATTCCGAAACAAACACAAATGCCATAAGTAGAAGAAATAACGTTTTGACCAACGTCACAGTAAGTCTTGTTTCCAACTTGCCTCTGTGCACCGGATGTCGTAGATCTGCCCTAACGATATTTTTCGCATTTTTTTCTTTTTTGCCCTGCAGGGACAAAACCTGACAGCACTCGGCCGCACAGTGACAGCGACCGCGGGAACTCTCTTCAACGACGGTGATCCGTCGCACCACTACACCTCCACAATGACAGATATTTCCAAACAGCTTGCGCATCGACCATCACTTCAAAAGCGTGTGTTTACGTTCAATCACCGCTCGCCGTCGGAACTTGTTCGATCAAAGCTATCAACTGCCGAAATACAGTATCGAGCTCTCACCTCACTCCCAGATGAGCTCCTCACGAATATCCCAGAGCACGAAAATTCTTATTCCTTATTCCAAGGCTTCCAGGCGACCTTACCCGATGAGCCTCGAGGAAGGACGACTACCAAAGGCTCCGGTCGGCAAAAGCTGCTTGAAGATGCCAATGGCGACGACTCTGGCCCACCAACACTGGGTAAATTGAATCGTGAAAAGGAGACGTTGGCACGGAAGCTAGAGATGCTCGGGATCAGGAAGAACATGTCTTCGTCTGAGATTAGGGAAATCGATATAAAAATAATGAATCTGAATCAGATGCGGAACATTGTTCTAGACCGACTTGCAAAATTGGAGCAGGACGAAGCTGAAGTCGAACATGAAAGTAAATATCCTTTACCACCCATTTCAGCCTTCCCAGGACGTTGAACCTACAACTGCAAGGACATGACTGCGTCTTAATGGTGCTAATGCTAGACGACAGTGTTGAATCTTGAAAACAAGATTGAGGACTTGCAGGAAGAACTCGAACTCGCCTCAGAAACTCATGTTTCTGACGATTCAAACGCTGATGATGGAAAAAGCGAGGAATCCACATTCATGTCCGAATCAATCTATGGAAAGCTCAACTCGCCAAAGCAATCACGAAAACGAAAGTCTGCTCGCCGCATCTCCATGCCCATACTTCACGAACACCTTGAACCTGGTAAAAGGATCAAAGAAATCCATACTCATTCCGATAATATAACTGCCTTAGATTTTGACGTTCCATTTGGCACAATGGTAACTGCAGCACTTGATGACACCGTGCGAGTATGGGATCTTAATTCTGGACGTTGTTTGGGGTTGCTGGAAGGCCACCAAGCCTCTGTTAGGTGTCTTCAGGTGGAAGATAACATGGTCGCAACCGGTTCAGCGGATGCTACAATCCGTCTATGGGATTTGTCTCGGGCAGAAAGCTATAAATTCACTCCCCCATCTACAACCGGGTCGGTTCACAAGAGGTCATCTGCCACAGCTTCTGTATCGGCCTCTGTAAATGAGGAAGATGATGATGTAGATGATGATGGGGCACACTCAACAATGGGATATCACACTCCTTCGATGTCAGAGTGTCAGGTTTTCTGTCTTGATTCGCACGTAGGGGAAGTTACAGCACTGTACTTCCAGGGAGATACTCTGGTCTCTGGCAGCGCCGATAAAACCTTAAGACAATGGGATCTTGTCAAGGGAAGATGTGTACAGACATTGGATGTTCTTTGGGCAGCGGCACAGAACAATATGGATGAGGGTAAATGGAGAGCAGGCGGACAAGGTGGTGGGCCTGATGGCGACTTTGTCGGTGCTCTGCAATGCTTTGATGCTGCCCTTGCTTGTGGAACAGCAGACGGAATGGTCAGGCTGTGGGATTGTAAGTTTCAACGTTATATAATTTGTGGTCGTAGGTCAGTCTGTTGATATGAGGGGTGGTTTTAGTGAGGAGTGGCCAAGTTCACCGATCGTTGGTCGGCCATACTGGACCTGTGACGTGCCTTCAATTCGACGACGTGCATCTCGTTACCGGATCCCTCGACAGAAGTATAAGAGTATGTTATTCTCCTCTGTCATTTTATGGCTCTTTTTAACATAATTCTCCAGATTTGGGATCTACGAACTGGCTCGATATTCGATGCTTTTGGCTATGATAACCCTATCACCAGCATGCAATTTGACAGCCGCCGCATTGTATCAGCTGCTGGAGAGCCTGTCGCCAAGGTTTATGACAAAACTGAGGGCAGACACTGGGATTGCGGTGGTGCAGATGGCAGCACGGAGATTGTGGAGAGGGTCAAGGTTAAGGACGGATATCTCGTCGAAGGAAGAGTGAATGGAACTGTAGGCATATGGGCTTGTTGATGACGAAGCGAGGGGATTAGAGTGGCAGTAACCACGCTGGACGGATTGTAAAACATCTTGGACCTATGAAGGTTATTGCTCTTTTCTTTTTTGTTTTCTTTATCTTCGGGAAACCTCTTATCTCCCCTGGATCTTACACTCGTTTCATTTTCTTCTTCTAATCTCTCCCTAACTCTCTCCTCCTTGACGAATTTTCTTTCTTCAAATCTTTTTTTTTTGGCGTTTGGAGGGTTTGCGATCAATGTGGTGGATCAATAAGCGGGGATACGATATGAATGCCAATATCATGTGCGATGTGGTTACTTCTGGGTATGTTTGCGTGGAGAAGCTTGGGGACTGTACGAATGATCTGGTATGGATAGAAGGATGGGCTTGGAGAAAAACTTGTCTTTTCCTTTTTTTACACCCAGGAAGCAAGAAGGGCGAAAAAAAAAGGCTGGTTAAAGGGTTGAGGTACGATGGGCAGAAGGGTTAGTTGGGGTGGGATGGCTCATACCACCTGTGTATATCGGACTCCAGTGCATCTGGGTACATGAGGATGGGGTACCTGATGCGCTGTGAGGTCCTGCTGTATTTCTCACAAAAAATCATATGTATACCTGTAGTTACCGATTATTACGATGCAAATCTCTGTTCCTTCATGGGCCTAGCGAGAGGGAAACGACCGCGGTGACCGGTATTGAGTAGAAGGGTAGTTATATTGGAAATAAAATATATGTTGGGAAATTACGGATTCTATCCGTTCGTTGGATACCGCAACTCAAACAGGCTAACGCTACAGTATGGCCGAGAGGGAGGGGGATCGAAGGGGAGGGTAGATACGGTTAGTTGTACTATGCAGCCAAAGGCTATGTGATACTGCACCACCACTACAGCCGGCGTAGGATATCCCTATAGCTTGTCTCAGCCTCAAATATGTGATATGGGCTTTCGTAAGAAGACATGCTATATAGTGAGGGTAGGTGTACTTAAAAGTGCCAAAATATAATACACTGTGCGCTAGTTTAGAGAACGGAGATTCTCATGAACTATCACTCGTACCTTCGCAGCCTAGCCATAGGCGTTGACTACGCCTGAGCCCTAGAAGGTCTCTTCGCCCCGGCCCATGTTTGCGTGTAGTGCGTAATAGTGAAGGGTAAGCTGCTTTAGGGGTATCCTATGAGGGGGTCGGGGGATAAAATCTGTGGGCTTGTGGGGCTTCTATCTTCCCCGCTCTTGAAACTTCTTGTGTAGCAGCTAGAGTCTGATGCAGCTCGGGTCTTATGAGAGAGAAGCGGGATAAGCATTCGTCGAATTTTACTCCTTGTGCATGTCTCATCAATAGCTGGTCCCGCCGCTCGATGCGGAGATCTGCCCCTAACCCTAGTTAAGTACTTGTCATTATAAGGAGAGGCTAGTCTAGCTTTAGGAAACCACATGTTGTCATTATGATAGGTGGCTTAGATTGCAATTAATAGTGGGGAAGAGCGAGTTCTCATATTCTCCTCATCAGTTATTCGCTACATTTCATCTTCTTGCACTCAACCTGACTATGCCCAAGCCCGTGCAGAAGTCACTATATGTTTTGCAACTTAAAGCTTACTGCCCAAGCATTACACCGCCTACTTAGAACGTACGGTGCCCGAGGAAAAACCTATGTCCCGGTACGTAGGATCCGGGAACAAGCTTTCGAGCCTTCTTTCCCCTTGGGGTTTCCGTAACTTTTCAGCATGGTCAAGATAAGCCAGGCTGTCGTCTTATATAACTTGGCCCAAAAACACCCAAAGCATCTAATGGCTCAATTAAAGCCCAGCTTCGGTACGTGTCGGTCTAATTCATCAGAGGGGCCCCCCGGGGGGGGGGGGGGGCGACAATAGCTAGCCCCCGCTATCGAGAGGAGCAGGAACTAATACCCAACTATAGTCGACTCCCGATATAAGGATATTGTCGGGACTGAAAATCTGTATCCTTATAAGGCGAGTATCACTATAAGAAGCAAGGATGGGCAGGTAAAACAGTATTTCGGGACAACTGATTGTTATCTATATAACAAGAGTATCACTGTATGCAGCATCGCTATAGCGACTCGACTGTACCCAAACATTAACAGCCATGGAACATTTCATGGGGCTCTGTTTCCAAATACATGTATGTGAGTTAGATTTAAGCTTGTACTGGTGTCTACACGGATACAGCTAATATAATCCTCCGGACGTCTGGTTAGTGGGAGGTTCTCGGGGAGACTTCTAGTTGCACATGCGGGAGGGAGAGATTCAAATGCTTATTCAAAATCAATGGGGTTTGGTTGTAAAGAAACATATGTGATCATGATCTGACGTATGCTTAGTACAGTACATACTACCGGCCGGCCGGTGCCAAGGCCTAGGGCGTGTGGTAACCATACATGATACACAAACTATCACTCGCACCGCTCAAACAACGCCCTGGCCTATCACGCTTTAGTAACCGGCCCCTGGAACTCTACCAGGCGATGCTAGGAGGTAGTGGGGGATTAGACTTGGGCTTGGAGAAGTCTGGGAACTCAGTATAATGCCTCCTTATATAATAGGCACAAAAACTATCTATATCACACAGCGATATACCTAGCCCACAACTGGACCGCACTACATACATGTTCACCCCCTCGCTGCGCTGAACTGTACTGGCCTGTCTCAAACCAAAACCATGGTGATCCCTCTACTGCCGCTGCGGTTCAGAAGCCAATATTTGTTGGTTGTGGGGGGGTTACGTAAAGCCCTATAGAACACCAACTATAACACACAGCGCCGCGGCCGCGGTATACATGAGCTGGTCTCTCAACACTACTAGCTACTAGTATTGAGTAGGATCGGATGGAACTCGAGAGGATTGTACTGTATCGCAGTAGCTATCTGGTTGGCGTGTGTAGAGAGCAATTGAGTTGGGCCTCGAAACTCAGCTTCAAGACTTCAAGACCTCCACATACCACCTACCCGCTCGCGCGCCGGGTTGGTAGTCAAGTTAAACCGTGGGGCAGATCACCGTACTCTACGTTATGTAGATCTCAGTCCGAGACAACAGCCCATACCAACCCGAGTGATAAGTTCTACTGACCACAACCCTAACCCCCGCTGCTGCACCACGCAGCACGCACCACGCACCAGTCAAACTGCCGGCCTCGAGATGCGCGCTCTTCGCCTCCTTCACCCCTCCCCTCCTGCGAGGGAGGGGACCCGGACCGGTTTTTTTGACAGCACATAGCACGCTGGTTTGGGGAGTAGGCAGTGAGGGGGGGTATGAAGCTAAGGAGGAGGAGGAGGAAGAGGAGGCGGGTAAATATTCTAGTAGGATTCTCTGATGGGCGGGTAAAAACATGGGCTGTGGAATGTTTTACTCGGGGAGTTTTTATTTTACCTTTTCCTTCTCGAGCTCGTTAACGTTCATGCCGCCCTGACAGTGCATGGTTTTGACGGCTAATACGACATTTCAACTTATTTACCAGGAGGGAGGGAGATGCAGGGACGTGCGTGCAGAGTAGACTCAGCAGAGCATATAGAGCAGAGGGAAACAGTAGAGAGTGCTCTATGCGTAGACATACAGAGGCGCCCTAAGCAGTAGTACCTGTGACGTGAGATTTATTCGCGTGATGGGATCGGATTTCCACTTGACGGCATCGCGGGAGCGGTGGATAGTAATTCCATCCACGTACGATATAGGCACCCTGAGGGTTCTATTCTGGGGATTAGTAGCTCTTGAAGGCGTGATTCTTCGGGCGTACACGGAAGGAGGCCTGGGCGGCGGCGGTGAAGGAGGAGGAGGAGGAGGAGGAGGAGGAGAGGGGTGGTGGAGATGATGCTGAACTGCACAGTCTGGTCCGCCTGTAGACTGTCTGATCCTCACTGAAGGACTCTGATCCCCTCACTCTCCCCCCTTGTAGATGTGGATGTTCTGCTAGCTCTGGCTGTGTCTGGGTGGAAATGCTTATCGCGGCTGCCGGGAATCAGTATTCGAGTGCTAGCGCAGGCCTGGTGCAGCGAGTAGAGTAGTGAGAGTGGGCCCCAGCTCAGCTCTGCTTTCTACTTAGTGAACTCCTGTTCCTGTTCCTGTTAGTGCTTGCTCGCTCGCTTCTTTATCAACATCACGACACCACGGACGACGACATCATCACCTCCACCACTACCAACCACTGCCACCACCACTGATAATGCTCTGAGCGAGTGAGTGGGCGAGGGAACGACTGACCAACTAACCAACTATCTAACTGCCCGACTGACTGACTGACTGGAACCCCCACACTGCTGGCACCCACTCACCACTCACCACACACGCACCACACCCACTACGGCAATAAACAAAAAGGGCACTCTCTGCGCACCACCCACCAAGTGTAGAAATAAGAGAAACAATAGCACAAACAGGATAGAGTAGAGTAATATACCACTCTTCTATAGAGACACAGAGAGAGAGATACATCTCCTCGTGCCCCCATTGCAACTGCCGTTCAAAAAAGGGACGAAACACCCCGCTCACCCCGCGATAGCTAGATATCATATCTCAACCCTCAACTACATATCTCACAACCTCTCTCCCTCACCATGGCATTCCGCGCACCCCCAAACACCCGCCATCTCTCCATCCACTCGATCCCACCTTTCTCCGAATCCGACCAACACCTCCTCTACTCGCCCCAACTCTCCTCGCCCGGCCGACCCCCCAGCGAACAGCCAGCAGCGGACCACCAGCACGAGCAGGAAACCGACGAATGGGTCGTCTTTTCCCCCAGCACGATCGGCACCGCCACCGTCACCACTACCTCCGACCTCGGCAGCGTCGTATCAGCACCGCGCATCCTGCGCCATGGCAACTACGGCGAATCGGAAGATGAGGAAGAAGAGGAGGACGACACGGACGACGACTACATGGACGACGACGACGGCACAGAAACCGACTCGCTGCAGCCGTTCCGCGAACTGGCGAACGACCCGCCGCCCGTGCGCCTGCCAACGCACGATGGCCTGGGCACGTTTCCGCTGTCGTCGCCGACGACAACAACGTCGACGGGGGTGCTGCGGTCGCTGGAGGAGTCTCTGAGGATCGTGGCGATGGCAGGAAGTACCAGCAGCAGCGATAGCGATGCGAAGATTGACCGCTGGCGAAGACAGCATAGCCAGGCCCTGCTGGACGAGATTGAGCGCGTCACAAGGCGGAAGATGTCGGTTGCGAGTCTGCGCGGCGCGGGCGGCGGAAGCAGTAAGGACGTTAAGGCGCTTCTGGACGAGGATGCGGCCTTCATGGCTGCTTCGACCGAGGAGGAGCGAGGGGACGAGGAGGAGACTGTGCATGGGAAGATGGAGGAAGAGCAGAGGGAGGAGCAGGATGAGGATACAGAGAACCCAGAGACCATCTGGCGCCGCATCACGAGGAGGTTCATCCGCGACATCATGGGCATCGACGACGAGCTCCTGCAGGTCATTTTCGGCGAAGCCCTCCCCGAGTCCTCGTACCCGGACCCCAGCATCTCGCTGCACGCCACCCCGGCCCCCACCGCCGCAGAAGACCGCCTCCTTAACCGCCTCGCCCGCGAGCTCGGAGTCCTCGTAACACAATACACCACGCACCCCGCCCCCGACGGCGCCGCCTTCTCGACGCTACACCGCGCCGACGACGACGCAGACAACTACAACGACGACGGCGTGCAGACGCCGCAGCCGCGCACCACCACCTCTACCACAGCTGCAAGCACGCACTTGCAGACCCCCGCCACGCCGTCCGACGCGGGGATGCCCCACTACAACTTCACGCCCACACTGCACCACAGCGACATGGCGCAGTGGGGGCTCGAGCTCGACGGCGATAGCCAGCATGAGGAGGAGAAGGTGCGACGAGAGTACTGGGAGCAGGAGCTGGGCGTGAGGGTCTTCTTCTCGTTCTTGAAGTCGCGGTTCTCGTCGCCGACGCCGCCCCCGCAGCAGCAGGTGCCGGGACCGGTGTTCCAGCAGCATCCGCTGATTAGGTCGCCGTCGGAGTTGAGGAGTGGTAGTTGGGGAGCGGCGGCGAAGACGGTGAGTAGGAGTGGGAGTGGGAGGAGTGCGAGGGGTTTCTATTGGGATGTGGCGTCGAGTGTGGGGAGTGGGAAGGGGAGCTGTGTCGGGACGGGGGTGTGGGCGGCGATTTAATGGTTGGTTTGGAAGAGCTTTTGTTTTGCGAGTGGTTCGTTTTTTTGCTTTGGGGGCTTTGTGAAGATAGCAGAGTTGTAATTTGTGGTTTTTTTTTGGACTTGACATTGACGATCTAGGGTGTGTGGACTTGACTTCCCCTTCTTCTTCCTTCGTTTGTTGGCGGTGTGGTGGCATCTTTTTTTGTTTCCTTATATATTTCATACTATCACCCGCACACACTACTTGGTCTCTGTTTGCTGTTGCTTTTCGTTCTGGGGGCGTATACATTTTCTCTCTTTTTCTCTTCTTTTCTCTGCTGTTGTGGTTGTGGTTGTTCTGCATGATTGCTTTCTCATCTCATCTTCATCTCTCATCTTTCATCTCTCATCTCTCATTGCGCGGACTTGGCTTGTAACTCTATGACTTTATACTATTACTATAGGATACAATACAATACATACAATACAATACATTGCATTACATTGTGGTTCTCGTCCCTTTTGGTGGTTGCACGGTCTTGAGTGGGGAGGCCTATGGAGGCACCGCCAGGAGGTACCCCGCTTGTCTGGTGCAAGTGTAGCTATCAATGTCGAGACTACTCGTAGAAGTTTGCGGCGAATGCGCGAGTGATAGGTAGTGATTCAGTATTTGTAGTACTTGTACTAGTACACACATTAGTACTAGTACTTGTACTAGTACACACATTAGTACTAGTACACACGTCTTATTACTAGTACTAATACTTGTAGTCAGCCCATATGCCAGTCCATATTTCCTGCCCCCCGGAGTGTATGGACCACGGGCTGGTTAAGATGTAGATCTGGTTACGTACATGTAGTTCGAAGTGGAAATGGTTACATACATGTATCGAGAGTGGGGATATAAACAAAGTACCGACGTTTCGATCATTGACCCTAGGTCTGACTACTTGTAACTAGGCCCACGGCTCTCTTCCACCAGACGGGGGCGGGAAGGGTCCAACACGTTCTTTCGAACAAGTACTCCCGCGTCACATGACATGCCTCATCTTGCACATGTCGATATGGTGCTAAAAGAGCAAACGTGCTTTGCTCCTGCAACCATGCGAGAGGATGGCGGAACGGGAGTAACACAACTCTTGTTGCAGCATTTCAAAAGACCGCTCGGCTTCGACTCCCGGCGTGGCCGGAAGCTCATGCGCTGTTGTCGATTCATTTCCAACGCTGTGATACACTCCGAAGTACGATTAGACGCATGGCATATATTCTTTTTGCTGCCGGATTGTTGGGTTTTTGGTTTTTGACGACGCTAGGCTGCTCCCAGTCAGTGCATACATGTATGTTATGGGAGGCTTTCATATAATAGAATGGAGGGGCCTAACTGATTATAGCGTGGTGGTAAATATGATTCCGTCATGATTGAGAAACAAAGCCCCGGTTTTTACCTCAGTACAGCTTCAATTAAAAAAAAACGAGACGAGCACAGTCCCAAAGTCTCAGATGGGGATCCTGATATGGGGGGTTCAAGCCACTCACTTATAACTTGGAAAACCGGCAATGCAATAAACAGAGCACATACAAAAAACAAAGACCTCTCCAACTTGTCCCAGAGCAGCAAAAGGAGAAGCACTACCCCGCACTTACCCCCTTTTCACCCAGTCACACAGTCTCTCGACCAAGCCTGGGAGGTGGTTCTAACCATAGCTGGTGATGGACGAACCCCGGCCCCTCTAGTGGGCGACACCGTAGCCGTTGGGTTGTAGCGGTGGGTGGTGTGGTGTCTCTCTAATACTTCTAGAGGTGGCGAGGTGCTTAGGCTGTCGGGGACGTGCATGTGGACTAGTTTAGGGTCCTTCTTGGATTGTGGGGGATCTGTGGCAAGGGTGGTTGGAATAGTGTGAGGGTGCCTAGGTGTCGTCGTATCCCTGGCCACCCCCAGATCCCTTCGTCTCTTCAATCGCACCTTCCAAATAGTAGAGCGATCGCTTCAACTGGCAGCAAAGATTGTCGCTTTGGCTGTTCCCTGGCTATAGGATGGCTCTCTCTGCGGGCATATATGTTCACTCGACACATAGTTATGCTAAAAGAAAACTCTGTGACCTGATATGTGGCTGTTTGGATGGTTAACTGGATCTCTGCACCCGCTGGTAGTATGAAAATTCCCGTTCTTCTCGATAGCGAGGGTTCTGGTCGCACGAGTGATATCGTGTGATCCACGCCGCAAACGTAAGTAGCGTAGGGCGTTGAGCTAGCCCTCTCCTCGCACATACAGCACCGCCATCGACACAATCATGTCTTGAATACTCTTCTTTCCCTTATCCTATATCTTGTATCATACCACGGAGCCCCTCCAGGGGAGCGCGGGGCAGGCTCAGTCACATGCACAGACTGCTCCAGTCCGTCTATTTCTCCCCGGGTACTTCTATGTTCAGCTAAACTCGATAAAGAGCCGGGGCGGGGGCTCAGTCTCATTCCCTGACTGTTTGCATGTGCTACCACTCCTGAAAATGGGCACGAGACTGCAGCTGGGTTACACCCGAGGCCATTTAGGTCACAATCATAATTTCTCACTCGGCCAAATGTCTCTCTGCTATTTGGCTCACGTACCGTCTTGGCACGACCTGCGCTGTTAACTCCCAAAGACCCACCACTCCCAGCTACATGCACCGCAAAACACTTTTTGTGGAAGCTGGGGTACGAGATACTTGGGAAAGATGTGGCCCGCCCAACAGGCTCCACGAGAAGAGCGGTATGGAGGGCCGGAAGTGAAGTTTCGTTCTATGCCGACTCACTTCCGGCTCTTCATACCACTTTTCTCGTAGAAATCGTGGTACCGGTCATACTCTCTTACCACTCGTAAAAGCTACGTATGTCCGTGGAAATCTACCTCTCCGGAGTGCCTCACTCAGGCTTGATGGTACGTACCCCCCCGTTGATCCCTCTGCTCCCTAGATGTTGTTGGCTGCGGCGAGGCAGGCCAGGGTGGTAAGTGGCAAGATGGAGATGAAAGGGCGTTGGGGGGAGGGGAAGGGGGAGGCCTGGGTAGAAGGAGCTACAATATCTTCCTCTCTACCGCTGCTTACTAGACGCCGCTGGGCTGGATGGGCTATGAGGTGATGTACGAGGCCCCAGGTCAATCAAGCAAAGACCATAAGAGCCTAGCTAGGACGGGTCGGTCATTAGGTGTCTTCTTTCTTGACGGTAGGTGTTATTTGGGCAAGTACACAGACGAATACGGCTCTTGTGGTGGGCGGGTGTTGCTGTCAGTTGGCCTGTGTAGTTGGGACGTTGTTCCAAGCAGGCTATGTATTGTGTACTCTGTTTGAGAACACTTGTTCTTAGTCCTATTACTATAAGAGGATCTCGTCCCTCCTCTCTTCCTTATCCAGGTCAGTTAGTTGCGAGTGGTACAATCATGTTCGGTTCTTTTTTTATTAAAGATCGCTGAGGATTGCAGTGCCTTTCAACACCCATCTGTTTTGTCCCCAACACAAAACAAGCACCCCGATTCCCGACCAGCGACTGCCTGAGACGAGACCACTGCAGAGGCTACGTTAGACTAATTGCCTCCCTCAAACTCTCGATTCTGGCACACAATCACAAACCACATTACACCCAATTAATCCAAAAGGTCACGCTCAATCATCCCATGGTGCTACCAGTAGGATTGTATTACAATGCTAACCTAAAACCTCCTCATTAAGCGGCGGGAAAAGCATCGCCTTCCTCCCTGACGACCCAACACCATACGTCCTGTCCTTTCCAAAGGACGCATACTCGAACCCTCTCTTATCAGCAGCTACGCTGAGTTGGTCTAGCAGTGCTGACATCTTTGTGGGCATGAATGGCCGTAGGAGGATCCCGGAAACGCGGACGGCCTCAGAGGAGAGATAAATTATCTTGTGGCGCTGAGCGGCAAGAGAAGGATCTTTCAGAGCCCAGGGGGCAGATTCTGAGACGTATTTGTTTGTCTTTTGGGGGTTAGTTCTTTCTTTCTTTTTTTTTGAGAAAGAAGAGAGGCAAACAAACCTTGGAAATTACAGCTACAATCTCCTTCAGCGCTCCAGGAACCTCAAACTTTGCCATTTTCTCAGCCACTTTCTCGCCGACGGTTTCCACAGCCTCTTGAAGTTGTTGGTCGGCCTCCGTCATCTCTAGGTCTGGGCTATCTACGCCCAAGGCGATGGCTGCCTCCAGATCAAAAGTCTTGCTGCAGACTCTGTTTACTAGGTTACCCAGGCCACCCTGGAGTATGCTTTGGTATCGGTTGATGATCTCTCTATTGCTGTAGTCCCCATCATCCACAATGCCTCCATCATGCGCCATGTAGAAGCGCATTGTGTCGACCCCATACCGTTTCATCGCATAGAACGGGTCTACAACATTACCTACGCTCTTACTCATCTTCTTCTGATTCATAGTCCAGTGCGCATGTGTCAGGATCTGCTTCGGCAGTGGTAAATCAAGCGCCAGAAGGAAGGCGGGCCAGTAGATGCAGTGGAAGCGGACAATGTCCTTGCCAACCACATGCACGTCTGCAGGCCACCCGCCAACAAGCTCTTTCCCGGGCGTCCATGGGTACCCGGTGACAGTGATATAGTTAACCAGAGCATCGAGCCAGACATATATTGTCTGCTCTTCGTTGCTAGGGACCGGGATACCCCATGTTAATCTGGAGCGTGGACGAGATATACTCAAGTCTGACAGCCCCGATGTGACCTCGTCAACAACAGCCTTGTAACGCGCGGCGGGGACAATGAAGTCTGGGTTTTTGGCGTAGAAGTCGAGGAGGTTCTCACGCATGGCGGAGAGCTTGAAGTGGTAGTTAATTTCCTCAGCCCACTCAACCTCCTGGCCGGTCTCGGTAGAGATCATGGTTTTCCGGCCCGTCGTGGGAGAGAGGATCTGCTTGACGCTGGACTCGGGGTAGAAGGTCTCGTCCGAGACAGAGTACCAGCCAGCGTGCTTTCCCGTGTAGATGAGGCCGCGGTCGGCAAGAAGGTCCCATATGTGCTGGACTGCATCGTAGTGCTTCTGGTCTGTCGTACGAATGAAGTGGTCGTACGAGATGTCGGCTTGTTGTGCTAGACTCTAGTAGTAGTAACAATGGTGAGTGAGATCCTGTGAAGATTGCAGGTGGAGTGGGTAGGTGGAGGAGACCTTGAACACCTCCGCGCCGCTGTCGCAGAACTGCTTGGGGGGCGTGTTGGCGGCGAGAGCGGCTTGCTGGATCTTCATCCCATGCTCGTCGGTGCCGGTGCAGAGGACGGCGGTGCGGCCTTGGAGCTGCTGCCAGCGCTTGAGGACGTCCGTGATGACCATTGAGTAGAGATGGCCGACATGGGGAGCTATATACACAGACAGATATATCAATTGACTACTACTCTCGCCATATTTCTGAAGTACAGCTATTTGTCTGCAGTCTAAGGATTCAAATATACGCACCGGCATTGACGTAGAAGATCGGCGTTGTGACATAGTAGGGCTTCTCCGCCGACTTTGCCTTGACCTCCGCCGTCACCGACGAGTATAATCTCCACCCGCTCCAATTGACCGCCGGCTTTACAGGAAGTGCCCAGGGCCTGGCGCCTCTCCTCACGCAGCAGCTCACCGATGACGATAAAAGCCTCGAATTCATTTGTCGAACAGTGTCTCAGCCGACGTTGCCGCGCACACACACACTACCTACTCGGAGTCAAAAAACCCGCCAATTTGTATGTCTCGCCAAGCAAAACGGCTTTACATGCGGCTCCACTGCATCTGATATCCCACCAATCCCGCTTAGATCTTTTTTATCTCCCTCCCTCCCTCCCGCCCGCCCCTCCGCTGCCCCCCGCCCCCGGATCCCCCCCCCCACCATAGATACAGACCTACCACCACAATCACCCACCAAGAAGAAGCACCCCACCCCCCCAATTGCCAATGCCCTTCCCACGGATCCTCGCCCGCGCCGCCGCCTCTGTCCTCCGAGCCCCGCCACTACCACTACTGCTGCGTGCGCCGGCACCGAGAGCGTTCACGACCGCGCACACAAAATGGCACGGCCACATCACGCCGCCGAAAAAGGGTGAGGAGTACGTGCTGCCTCTCTGTCTACTACGTCTGTGTCTGTGTCTGGGTATGGGTATGGACAAGAAAAAGAAACTAACAAACGGCGGTTTGGGCTAGGCTGCATGTGACGTTCGTAGACAAGGAGGGAAAGAAGCACACGTACGAGGTTGCCGCGGGGGACAACCTGCTGGATATTGCGCAGGAGAATGATCTTGAGATGGAGGGTATGCTTGCCACTGCTACTGCTATTACTACTATTGCTACGAATTGGATTGCGAAAGATTGGACTAGGTGCTGACTAGTGGGGGTGGATAGGTGCGTGCGGTGGATCAGCGGCCTGCTCGACGTGCCATGTCATTGTCGAGGACGACGCCATGTACGAGAAGCTCCCCGAGCCGGAGGACGACGAGAACGATATGCTGGATTTGGCCTTTGGGCTGACGGAGACGTAGGACTCACCGTTTACTTTAGAGTTTGGATGGGGAGGTGTGCTGATTTGAGTGTGTGTTAGGTCGAGACTTGGGTGCCAGGTGCATATGAGCAAGGAGATTGACGGCATTGTGGTGCGCCTGCCGTCAATGACGAGGAATCTGCAGAGTAGCGATTTCTCAAAGAAGTAGAAATCGCCCGTCCTCCCCGCCCGCCTACCCCACCTATCTCCCCCAGATATCCGATCTACCTATTGTTGCGGAGAAGAGGAGCGAATTTCATGTGCATCATGAAGTGTCACCCGGCCGCATATAACACGAACAATGGGCGACTATTTTAGTAAAGGAAAAAAAAGTGCTTTTTGTATTTCATGCCCTAGACTGTAAAAAGGAAAAGAAAAGAAAAACCCCCAACTCCGCAATATCGATAAGCTTTTTTTGCAAGCCATTATTATAATATACTGCTATTTATATGAACATAAGAGTGGCGTGGGAGGGTTGCTGGCTTCTATTTTGTCTTTCCACCGGCCTGGATCAAGCTTAGGAAGCCCTGTTTTGACATCTCCGTGACTGCGATGAAAGCTGTTAGTTTATGCTATAAAGGGAGCGAACTGGGAACCTTACCTTTCTCCTCCCTGTTTGTCATTCCCACCACTCCCTTCTGCTTCACCTGCTTCTGCGCTTCTTCAGCCTTAATCTGCGCCGCTCGCACCGCATTAAAAAGCTTAACCACACCTATCCCACACCTGTCAGCATCTCTCTCTCAATTGCTTAAACCAAAGATGGTAGGCGTTTAGCTACCTCTCTGCGCCGTCTTCCTCAGCTTCCTCTCATGCTCCAGCGCCTTCCTCGCCGCCTCATCATCATCCTTCGGCACCACCTCCTTGATCCTCCCCTTCTCCAGCTCCTTCCTCTTCTCCTCGCGCAGCACCCTGCGCGCCTTGGCCTCCAGCTTCGACTCGTCAATGTTCTCTTGAAACTTCTTTGCGCGCACCAGCACGGGGTCCTTCCGCGCCGTCGTCGTCAAGTGCGACGACAGGATCTTGGACATTGCGTCCGCAAACACCGCGGGATCATTGCGCTTGCGCTTCTTGCCGGCGGCCGTGTTCTGGGCCGCGAGGATGTCGTCAATGTCGTCTTCGTCCTGGTCCTCATCCTCTTCTTCCGCCTCGTCGCCGGTGAGCTCGTCCTCCTCGGAGGACTCGCCGCCAGTCTTTTCGTCGTCGTCAGAGCCGCCAGCTTCGAATTCGTCGGCCGAGTCGGAGGCGGCGTCGAGGTCGAATTCGTCCTCGAGGGCTACGCCGGCGTCGTCGGAATCTGAGGATTCGGCATCGCTATGCTCAATTGGGGGGGCGGGCTTGGTGGTTCGGGTTTTTTTCGTGCGTGGAGCCATTTTTGGGGGTTTGAATTTTTGGATTGTGGATTCTCGAGAATTATTGGATCTAGGGTAAAAATTAAAAAAAATGTTTAGGTGAGAGGCGTTACCCGGCCGGGTGATAGGAAGAGCCGCAATTGATAACGTTGTTGATTGGCTGTTAGCGTTACTGGCGGGGGAGGTTTTGCAGTAGCCTGCATGTGGACCGGGGGTGAAATTTACTCTTCTGATTGGCTGCTGGTTACAAAGTAAGTATTTTGGGGGCTGTTGAATTTATATGGTGTCTTACTAATATTTCTATAATCGAACCTGTCCCAGCCGTATATATGCCTACATAGCCTTTTTTATGGGCTCGAGGGCAAGCTCTATTTATAACCGCATGAGCTTTCATCCTTATAGACAGCTTTCCAACGTCTGAGCTTTGGGTTCAAGTGGTAACGGGTGGGCAACAGATCGCGGAGTCTTGCCGATATAAAAAGTGTTCACTCCATCAAAAACATAATCCATCTTTGGGCTACAAGATATGCTGGTTGCAGGGAATCACACATACCGGCATTTAGGACACACTATATCAACAGAGGTGCCACAGAATCCAGTCGAGTGATTTTGTGTGAAGTAATCTCTCAAGAATGGCTAACAAGAAAGGAGGTACGGCCAGTTTGTTCGGGTGCTATAAGCTAACCAGAGAAGAAGAGAGTGGTGAAGTACTAGCTCCGCTTGTACAATGAGATAAACTTGACCATTAATTTGCAGCAGATATCACAGTCTCTGAGTCTAGATCTCTGCTTGTATATATGATGAACATTTGCAATTCGAGTGATGAGGTATATTTATAAAGAGAGTATCATAAAACGTTCTTAAGCTTGGACCGTCTCAGAGGATAGGTTTGAATAATTTAAGAAGGACGTCGAGTTAATGGCCTTGCTTGTGGGGCGAAGAATTGGTGGGGTGATGAAATGATGATTCTATTACGAAGCCGGAGGGGAAATCCCATCTACTTATATATATAAATATAACACGTCTAGCTAGGCTAGACAGCTATGGACACCGTTACTAAGACCACCCTACATTGCTGGAGTAAACATAACGTTCTCAGTCGAATATTACACGTGGATTTATGAAATTCCATACACGTAAACTTGTAGAAAAAGAGTTTGTGTCATATTCTGCGCTCCAAATGTCTGAGTTTATAAGTAAGTAGATCAGAGTCGCTAGATCTACTTTGTTAATAGTGGCCAGCAGTGATCTCGATCTCATAATATAATATTGGTAATTAACACATTGTTATATACTGGACGTAAAATTAAAAGCTCCGCTGACTAGTGAAGTTTTTCATCCAGCAAGTAGTTTACCACAGAATGGGTAAGATTATATTCCAGTTAGAGTGTCCGCTGAGAGATTGTATGATCATGAGTCGATATGGACGCGAAAAGTACTCATAAATTGGAAATACCTGGGCACGGCGCCAAGTTTGTGGGGAAGACGCGAGCCCATGCCAATAATTACCCGGCCTGCGCGTGCACTCGCCCTTTCCGTGTTGAGGGGCACACCAATCTTCAACTTCAACTGTATCTCAACGTACGTCTGCAACCAACCACCAGCAAAAAAAACTCCGCCTCGCGCCTCTCGCAGACGTCTTTTTTCTCATATAACAACAACATCAACCCAATTCCCAAACACGCACCACCACCACCGCCAATATGAGATTGACCACTGAGCTCCTCGCGAGCGCCCCGAGCTATCTCAACCCATTGAATGATCGTGAGCTTGATCTACGAGGTGCGTAAATCCAAAGAACAGATACTACATTTTTGATCTATGAGCTGTATTGAACAAAACCCCCCTCTTCCTTTTCGGTGGAATGTACAAATCAGGCCATAAAATACCAGCGATTGAAAATTTGGGTGTCGCGGGAGTAAGCAAGCTCTCTCTCCAAACATAATTGGTGGTGGTGATGGCTGACCAAACAAAAAAACAGCCACAAGACGCAATCGATTTCACCGACAACGACATCCAGCAACTCGGCAACTTCCCCCTCTCCGAGCGCCTCAAGACCCTCCTCCTCGCCAGGAACCGCGTATCCACGATCCAGCCCACACTGGCAAACTCCATACCCAACCTCCAAGTCCTGGCTCTCGCCTCCAACAACCTCTCCGAGTTGTCGGATCTGGACCCGTTGGCAAAGTTTCAGCGCCTGACGCACTTGTCGTTGTTGGATAACCCTGTTACCAGGAAAGAGGTGCGTTAGACATCATCGTGGCCGAGAAGGAAAAGAAGAGGAAACTCATGCGGTGCGGGTGCGGTGTAGAACTACCGGTATTGGATCATCTGGCGTTGCCCCAGCGTCCGCTTCTTGGACTACCAGAAGGTTAAAGACGCTGAGCGGAAGCGCGCTGTCGAGCTTTTCGGAACCGAGAAGGAGCCATCCCCTCTTGCAGCTAAAGTAAGCCCCATACCCCCCCCCCCCCCCCCCCTTTTTTATTCTACTACCTCCCACGATATTCTAACGATCCTCCAGATCATGGGCGTCAAATCTAAGACATTCGACGTCGGCGAACCCCTCAACGGCGGCAAAAAGGAAACCACCGTCCGCCTAACAGCCGAAGAGAGGAAGAGTATCGAGGCCAGGATCAAGAACGCAAAGAGCTTGGACGAGATTGCGAGGTTGGAGAGGGAGCTGAGAGAAGGTCCTATGGTGGGGGAGCATATGGAGCAGTAGCTATATGTGTAGCTTATCAGCTCAGGCAAATTTCTTTTTCTTCTTCGCTATTCGTATCAAATTACAATGCAAAGTGTATAAAAGCTCTGTTTGTTTTTTTAAAGCCCAAAAAATAATTTCGATTTCTTCTTTGAACTTGGGTATCAAGTGGAATGGAGCCGGCCTAGTGGCCTAGGGTTTAGAAACTTTATACACTATTGGTTGTGTAGATTCGCACATCGGCGATTACTCAACAGCTAATGCACAGGGAAAAAAAAGGTGCATCCCATCTGTATACCCAGTAACACCGGCGACCCCATCCATCCGTCTCGTAGATCTGTGCTTCATTGCACCGGATATCACTCGCATCGTCACACCTGTCGCAAGAATCTAATATGACATTCTTGAAGAACTCGAGTTTCCTATGGACATATTTTTGATAGATAGTCCGTGTGAGCCTCTACATGTTACTCAACACCATAAAACTTTACCTTCGAGTTAACCACTCTGGCCAACCTAAGTCCAGTTACTAGCCCAAATTCCCAGACCAGCAGCCAGGCACAAATCTTCCAACGGAACAAAACTTTGATTCGAGGTATATACTGGCCTATATCTCCATCGATTACGGAACAGGGCTGAGTTGTTGTATATAGAAGAGCAACTTGAGGAGTAAGGAATTGCAAACCCAGTGCATGCTGTCATGAGTTCAATCCCGAACCGGTACGCGCATCAGAGTATAGGTTTTGAACCTCGCGGGCCGGGTGCTCTTCCTCATCAGCACGTCACACAGGACCAGACGCTGGTTCTACCTGTACTTGCCGTTAACGCGTTGTAGTGCTGGTCTGGGAGGGGGGAGGGAAGAAGCCAGGTCTTAAACCACCCAAAGCTGACGTCACAGAGATCCAATTTCCGCGCAGCTTACTAGCTCTACGCCGAACCTCAAAGTTTCCAGACACGGTGTACGTAGGTCTGTCCACTTCTTCACACTATACCCGAAGGGGGTGTTCTAAGGAGCTAAGGACAGCTATAAAGATAAGCTTTAGAAGTTACCCAGCTGGCCAGAGCCGAATCCTTACATCTCTCAACAACAACCACATCTACGTCTCTACCCGGTCTTCGATAAAGATTATCTACAAGCATCCATCAACCACTCATACTTCAGCCTGGCTCATCAAGCATCTTGGTGTACCGATAGATAGGCCAAGTCACTCAACAGGTCGGCGACTTGAATGCAGGATCACTACACAACGTTTAAGCACGACCTCGAGCGTGTGAAAGGCATCAACATTGAACTGCTTTTATCACTAGCTGCAGTGGCATCATCACTAGCTTAATCGACAGCTATTCTAACTACAGCTAAGATCTCTCTTTTCAACACTGGTAGATGCACACCATCTATCCATATTCCATACTCCATAGGGACAGCTCCATCAGCGCGGCGAAGCTCATGTCGCAGATGATCCCTTCTGGTTATGTTCGCTGAACAATGATCTAAGGTTCCTACTCGATGAGATTGGAACCCGAGCTGATCGGCTCATGACCGCACTAAAACTTATGGATCTAGAGTCCAAGTGGCCGACTTTTGTAGTAGCCGAAATTGTGTGAGTGGGGTTAATACACAACGCACCCGCGTAGGAGAAGATTTCCAATCTTCCTTTGGAGCGGTATTTCTCCATCTTTACGGACTTCAAACCCCACCGCTACATGCTACAGGGCCAGTAGATGTCATTAGTCTACGCTGTTCTGGGGGCCCAATGAGTTGGCCCATTCATCAACGGACCGCCTCCTACGTGATGAAAGGACCAAAGTGACCACTCGCAATACATCATTGCGACAAGACGAAACAACCGCAGGAGTATAACCTTCTATTTATAACGTTTCCAAACACGGCCAATGTTGCATACCACACAAAAACGCGCGAATAGACGAGTATTCGAAAGCCTGAGCAAAGTAGTAAGGCTTCCTTACGAGTGTTAATTTCAGGATGAGTGAAATTATAATATATGTTCTCGCGGAATCTACACTTCCCGCTCCTACGACCGAAATCGAGGAGATACACACTCCAACAGGCAGCTGCACCAAATATCACTCGCGCAGCTCGAAACCGCAAAATACCACAAAACCTCCGCAATATTCAATGCATCACAATAATGAGTCTTCTCCCACATATTGCGAGGGCTTCAGTATACGAAGTCAAGTTTAAACAGTACCACAACGATATCAAGCGGTGAGGGGACAAACGCTTCTCGCGGTCCGCGGCCGTGCTAGCTAGTTCAACTCTTTAGACCAGAAGCTCAGACTCTAGAAAGAAACCCAAGCTATATGCGGGAAAAAGCTCACTACCACTTCACGGTCAGGCTCGACCAGAAGATTGACTACTAGCTGCATACAACAGGTATAATATTTAGACCCAGGCAGTGAATATACCCTCACGCTGGGATCACAATGAAAGTATAGCGAGCAGTAGCCAAAACCTTCACATTATATAGTACCTACTGCATAGTGCTAGTGGTCGGCCTTCTGATTGAGCCTGGCCGTGGAAGGGATATTAGTTAACTAAGCAGCTCGTGCTTATTAACTACTGATCGGATTGTAGATTGCTTGTTGAAATACCTATCAAGTCTTCAAGGGAAGCTCGGAAAATAACAATCCCCGCCATAGACGCTGCCGGGATTCATTCTCTTTCCGGGGAGGTAGGCCGTTTAACCTCAATAGAAAGTTTTGTTTTCTAAGGAGGCAAGATACTTCCAAGGCTGTCTCAGCCCACTAGATATTGGGGCACCTTCTAGGTAGGACTAATGCCAAAGATCAAGCTAGATTTCCAGGCTCGTGGAGCGTCACAATTCCTTCTCAAGTTACCAAAAAGCTATGGGTATTGCCTACAAGAAAAAAAAGAAAAAACATCCTAAAGCCTCCGAAGGATATAACAGTTAGATCTCGTTCTCTCGTTCTTAAATCAGGTATGGTGCGCTCAGTATTAAAGGTGACATATCAGCTTTTGGCTACAGAATGACCTCTAGACCGATTGATGAGAAGACCCATTTCTAGCCGCCTCACTGCGCAGCCGTGATAAGTCAGTTATGTGGTACCTTTAGGGGTATATAAATGGGCACAAAGATGTTCCATTTTTCGCTGCCTCGGCACTTTTTACATAATTTCAATTCCCAAGGTTTTCTAAACCAGACAAGTTATCAAAAAATCTGTCTGAGACAGGTCCTTTTCGCTACTATATATCTGGTTAAAAAGCCTTATGGAATTGAAATTATGTCGCCTTCAAGATTGGGCAAGCCTTACATCACCAACCTTCGAGGGATTGCTAGAATACTACGGCATCATATCTCACATTGAAATGCCAGCGGTATACCAGGCAGGTCAGTTTGGAAATTTCAAACGTTTCAATCCACTCAGTGGACCAAAAAGGAGCAATAAGTATAAGGTAAGACTAAAGCGAGCAATTAAAGGACGGATGTATATCACTTATCCCCCCCAGAGAAAGAAAGTTAGAGCTTCCAGCAGAGAGCCAACAACCTTGTGTTGAATATGCGCCTGTACGAGAGTTAAATTTTCTGGCTTTACGCCCAAAAACAAGTACTCCAATACCCGACCAGAAGATATCACCTGCGTACGTCGCCGCCGATCAATAACTATTTCCGGGTTACAAAATAACTATGTACCCAGATTTGTATGGGAGAAACACTTCCTAAATCTACCCACCCCCAAAAAATAACATCAATTCTCATGCAAGAAAATAATATCTACATCCCCTTGGTAGTAAGGCCATATTACAATCGTCAAGTTAGCAAGTCATAGAAGGTATGATATAGAAAACTATAAGGATATATAAGTTATCATAGAACTTTCCTGGAAGTCGTAAGGAGATATCCATTCCGTTAGTTTCTTATATCATACCTTCCAGAAGAGGTTGACCCGAGATTTGTAATCCAGTGTAATCGTTAAAGGGATAGAGCTTGGGAACTGAAAGGATGCAATTACCTCTTTAATATATATCTCACATGATTGTAAAGTTACGAACCCTTCAAAGGTGGGCATTTTTATTAGAAACCCACACAGCAACCGTAAAAAATGTCCAACTTTGAAGGTTAGTAACTTCACAATCATATGAGATATTAAATAGATTGCATCTCTATATTTCTAGAGACTTTTATATCTTCCCATTTTGTTATCAAGTTCGGGGTGGTATTTTCGGGGTGGGTAGACCAAAAAAATTTTTTTTGTATTCCCATACAAATATAGGTACACAGGCACCTACATAAGTACTTCGTAAGTCGGCAACGATTTAATCCAGCTAGCTAGAATGATTACTGTAGCACTGTTCCATAACACTATTCGTATTGTCCTGATGTTTGCCGGACGTAACTGCTATTGCATACATACCATACAAAAACGCGCCAAGTCGATGATATAGTATGTTATGCAATAGCGGCGCGGTTTACAAACTTCGGAAAAGTAGGATTAGTGGATCTCGGAGGGACTTAGCCCGGCCTACGGAATAACGGGCCCGGGCTAATATATCACGGGCTGGGCCGGGCCGGGCCCTACCTATATTTGGCCCGGGCCGGCCCAAGTCACCCTCTGGTGGATCTCTTCTCAGGCTTAATTGGGCGGCCAAAAAACTCAAAGTACCGGTAGGTAATTCAAAGATGGACCTTGTGGTGGCCCAAGGGCCATTCTGCGCTTTTGAGACTGCAGCTAAGTAGAGGGAATCAATGCTCCGGCCCGATACCTCGCACCCACATCATCATCCAGATCTTTTTATAGATAAGATAACCCAGGCCAACTACATGCACTCATATTCTCTTGGCTTATTGCGCAGCTAAAGTATGGTTAGTACCTCACAAAACGCAGAGTACCGCGAAAGAGGGCCAGTCACCACGGCGGGGTCAGTTACTGATCCTCTCGGCAACGACCATTTAGGGCGAGTGATCCTACGGATTTCTTCAAACTGGTACAAAACTAGCCCAATCTATCGTTGCCGAGAAAAATCACTGACTGAGCCGCCGTGGTGACTGGCCCCCCCTCGCGGCACGTACAGACTGACGAGTGGCGTCGCGCTTGCCAAGCTTCATGGAAGCTCACTCGCCCAGTTCTGCGACAACTCTCCCCTAACCCTACACTCCTCCTCCCGTTATGGAGCGCCTCCTTACGCCGGAGCCAAACCCCCACGCTTAATTGCTTTTCTTAAGAGAAAAAAAACAATTGCGCTTCTCGGCGCCGCTGTCATGTCTGCTAGACGCGGCAGAACATACCGCCATGACACATCCCAGATCCCCAAGCCTGATCCAGATACTTGGCCACGGGAGATTCACGATCAACGAACCACATATTGAGTGAAGATCGGCCGCCATACCCGCAGGCATGATCCCACCGCGGTACCAGCCAGCACCCGCTCGTAATGCTTTGTCAAAAGCGAATCTATATCACCCATCCCAGAAATAGATCAGGCATCTCGTAACGCGTTCCCTAGCCGCCACTTCAGAGCTCGTCGATCGGCGGATTAGAATTGTATGTGCCTATATATATGCGCCCATTTAACGTGAGACGATGGTGGCTGTGATCTCAACCATGGGTGATCGTTATACTCTATATCGCGTTCTTGTCATGATGGGTGAAAAGGCGGGATCCTACCGGGACCCGCCATGTTTGAGGATTCGGCGACCTGTGTGATGTCGATATATTGAAGAGAAACGTTTTCTCTGCGCTGTATTGTCTGCCTTGTGTGCGTATCTAAAACAACAACGGCCCAGTATCTGGCCAGGATGCCACCGTTTAATCGCTGTTGCATCCCAGTGACATCTGAAGCTTATCCAAACAACCCTTGCTTGTTGCAGCACGAATCATGAAAACGGGTCTTTCTATCAAATCCAGGAAAGAAAGAAGAAAAAATTCTCTCCCCAACAATTTTTTTCCTTATCATGATCTAGCAAGGAATGCCATCAATGATAGATCCCTACTACAATCCTCTTGTCAGGAGCCCACAGCTATCGTCACGTGTTACCACTACTTAAACCCCCTCGACCCTGCCCGCCAATCACGGATACATTATAGGACCATTAGCGAAAGTCGCCCACGAGGAACAGCCCGCACCGTGCATGTATGATTCACACGCCCACTCTAAAATACCAAATCCCAATTTTAAAAAAGAGCTCACGGGGAGCGTAGGGAGTGCCATCTCGCCCGGCTAGCGAAACGGGGATCCCCGGGGTGGTGAGCACGGATGACCCTTGTTCTAGCCGGTAGGTAAGTAGGGTAGCGAGCTGCCCATCCATATCAAAACCTTTGTCGACGACGGCTCGGCAATCAGTAACCGATTGACTAGCGAATCAAATTCCTTTTGATATGCAGGGGCCCGGAACAATGAATTGGCTGTGACTGATATATTAGCAAAACACAGTCAGTAACGGCATGCATCGTCACCCTTTCCTTGGTACGGATATCAGATGGGGGTTTCGGTGACAGTCGGTAACCCCTTGTAATGCAGTCAGTACTAGTATTGCAGTACCATAAATTAAAGGGGTTGTAATTACTTTGACGTTTACGGACTGGCCTGGACTGTACCAGACTCGGTCTGCATATATTCACCAAATATGGTATACCGATATACTATTTATGCAATCCTTCGACCTAGGTAGTTATATGCAGACCTACTCATTCCAAAAACGTCAAAATTTTTACGAAGTTACGAGTAGTACTCGGGGCTGGGTATACATGAACGCCGTACCAAGATATATTGCGGCATTCATGAATGCCGCAGCCTAAAAGCATTCTACCACGATAAGATACGCTTGGAACCTGACCGATCCTCTTAGTTCCATAATACCAGACCTCAGGACTCCATCTCAAGCACAATGCCTACATAACGCCATGTAATAGTTAACCATGGATCCACGATCACGATCGAAACAAAATTGAGTTTCTTTTTACCCCTATTCCAAATTCTCTATTCCCTAATGCCCTTCTCGAATTGTATCAGAACATATGCGCATATGCAACAATATTACTATTGCTATATAGTACTAACCCATATACCATATACGGTACTTTACCCAATCGCCTTGCATACGCCGTGACATATAAATCTCATCGCATGCACCTGTGACTTCCATCATGTAGGTCACATAGTTCTGATTGGCAAGGCCATGGAAAGATATCTTCACCAGGAAGATGTCTCAATCTCCCCCGGGCGATGTCTGGCAGGGTATTTTTGGACCAATACCGCGTACCGGCGTGTTTAAGCAATCCCTGTTCGAATCGCCATCGTCGCAGCCAGACAGCCAGATGATGGATTTGCACTGCCCAATCATGTAGGAACCGACTTTAAGGCGTTCGCCTAAATTGTGTCAAGCCACAAAAATTTGGGTGCAGAGTTTTTTTAGCTGGTGCTGACAACTATCAAGAATTTAAATCTATGGTGATAATTCATGATCAGTTAATAAATTGCGAACCAGATATTAAAATCGAGTTTTCAATTTAGTACTTACATTCCTTTCTCCCAGTGACTAACCCATTGACCCACCCCCCACTCCCATCTTGAAACGGAAAAAGCACCCTATGCAATTGATCTTTCAGTCCGTGGTCAACCCGATCTGCGTATATATGCATCGGGACCAGTACAACGGTGCGGGAACGTTCGACCGGGAGCGGGGGCGAATATCAAAAAGCAACTTATGTGTCAACAAACCTTGAGTAATCTTGCATAGTTGACTTTTCAGCTGAGTTTTTCCACAGCGCGCATATCGAGCAGTCGAGTGATCACGTATGATACCACAAAAACGGCTCCTCCATGCGCGTTTAGCGTAGTTGCCGCCTTACCAACCTGCACTCGGAAGGAAAAAAACCGGTTTTTCGCAAACCTGATTGGAACTTGCACTTTATGAGTCTTGCACTTCAACCAGTGCACATGCACTAGAGTAAGTGCGGGCGGGTATCTATTTTACCTACCTACCCTATCCCCTCCTCTCCCGTGAGTTAAGCGCCTTCTGAATGTAGGATGCTCTTAACTATTGGTCGCTTAAGTAGCAGCGTCAAAGCATGTAAGTAAGACTCGTATGATCATGATAAAAGCCAGCGAGCACCATACCCTCATCTCCAATTTCGGGAAAAAGAAGCCCCCATCCACAAAAAAAAGATTTTTCTCCAAATTGCCATTAATCAGGATCTTCACATAGGCTCGTGTATTGTTGCTGCTGCACTAGGATGCATATTAGGTTTCATGCAGGACCTCACGCAGTAGGTATAGCTAGGTAGGGGAGGGGCTTATCTGCGTCTCTCCCGCCTGAGCGTTTCTGGGACGTGCACGACGGTACCGTTGTTGGTAATGGTAAAGGACGGACCTTATGGAGGTGTTACGCCGACCCTCTAGTATAGCTAGCTAGCAAGTAAGGCATTTCGGGAAGGGTTATTACAATATATCCCTCGACGAGGAGTAGAATAGAGCAAACTGAACATTAGCCTTTACCGAGGATCCCGGCCGATCGAAATTTCGTATGGGTATTGATTGTATTGGGAACCACCACGTATCCGAAGATGCCAAAGAAAGGGGGAACAGAGAAGTGGGGAAGGGGAGAGACGGATTTTCGGGACCCGTCTAATCTAGATGGATAACTAGATCTGCAAGCTTCTCGGATAAGTCAGATAGTGAAGTGTTCCTGTCTTCCAAGTACATAGTTTTCCGGGCCGGAAAAACCATACAACTAAGCTAAGTATTAGCTCTATCTCGGGCCGGAGTTGTTTTTAAAACCCCCAAATAAGAAAAGAAAACCTACCTACATAGCGGGGCCCCGCTAGCTAACCAGACAACACTGTCTCGAAACAACACTCCCCGACTGGTGGTATTCCATAACGAATCGTGTACGTAGAGTAAGCAAATCTTAGCTACCGGAGCACCCCCCTGCCATGTTCGTGAAATCAGCATTTGAAATTTCGCAATAAAACAAATTCCAGGCCGAGTCACCGTGAAATTTTTAGCTTTTTGGACCGGCCCCATGTAGTGTGTTCGTCGGCGTTTATAGGCACCCAATATTGCAAACCACTTTCTCTAAACTCCTCCCATCATTCCAGTTGGGGGCCTAGCAAGCCCTGCCCCCACGTACGGCTACTTTCGATAAACAACTCTCCATTCTTTGCCCCCTTTTGATCGGCCTTCGGCGACTAGCCCCCACTTTATTCCCCTAGATAATCACGAAAAGAAACCAGTCAGTCACTCCACAACTTAAAGAACGGATTTCTTCCAAAAGCGTCATATGTAATTGCAATATCGTCGTACCTACATGTAGGCCTTATGCCAAGTCTCATCTTAGTAGAGTACCTAGAGTCGAATGCATAAACGAAAGTAAAAAGAGGGGGGAAACCTCATCCATCCTGACTAGCCACGATCGACTTGAGCGAACATTTGCAAGGAAGCCCTCCCTTGAAAGTACTCGCAGATTAGAGAGAAATGCAGATGAATCAGATCATAAAAAGTTTATCCTACGCCTCAGCCCAGAGCTAGTCTGTCATATCATTATTTTTTTTTTTTCCTCTTTCGGGGAGAGGGGTCGCATATGCCCGGTCCGGCCGAAAAAAACTTGCTTGGAACAGGAAAGGGAAAAGGGAAAAAAAAAATCCCAGAGCTCTGGGTGCTGTGATACGATCATCAAAAAGAGGATACATAACAGAAACCTAGTTTGACCAAATAGCCAGGTTATGTCGAATCCCAACCATATACATTCTTTAGCGCCTGGGCGTTAGAGTAGGTAGATAATACTCACCTATATCACAAGTCACTCATAATACCAAGACCAATGACTGTCTCAGCTGGATTCCCTTTCAGATCTAATCCGAAGAGCGCCCACCGGTTACGGCTGACATTCCCCCTCAAAATTGTTTATGATTTGGAGGTACAAACTGTACTATTTGATGAAGTTTCCAGTCCAGTCACCTCATTCCCATTACTTCCCCGGGGATGACATGGTTAGCCCTGACCTTACATGCGATTCGGTCCTCAGCCCCAAACACCAGCAGCACATTCAGCCTCCTCGAGGTACATACATAGGGTCAGGAGGAGGGGGGAACTCACCTCCTCTCCCAATCACCCCCCCCCCCCCAAAAAAAAAAAAAAAGCCGGTGGCACGAAATAAGAAACGTAGCTCGGTACCAAAATAACACAATCTGCATGGTTCCAGAAGGACCCCATTCCAACGAACCCCGATATTACTTTTTTGCCTAGCTAGGTACACGTTCTAGGAAGGGAAGGTGCCTCAACGGCTCCCCCGGTGAGAACTTTATTAGCAGCCCCAATAGTGCATGGTGCATGATGCAGCCCTGCAAGAGGCTCTTTTACGAAGCGAGCGGGGGGGAGGATGATCATGATCAAGAAGGAAAAATGCTGGCGAAAAAGAAAAAAAAAGTGACAGTAGTTTTTCGTGGTGATCCATGAAGGATTGCGGAGTGAGACCGATCCGCTCACGGAGTTCGGCGAGATATGCGAGAAATTGTCTGTTATGTACAGTAGCATGTAGAGTAGCACTAATATGGAGGGAGAGGGGGAACTAACTAGACCTGATCGTGAGTTGGCCTCTTCGACTTCATTTTTTCATTTGCTTGGTGAGCTCAGGGTGAGACAGATCGTTTGAGTAATTGCATCTTACTCTAGCTACATGTACCCTGTCTTGTCGGCCAGTGTATGTAGGTCTAGTACCTTACAGAATTTCTTACACCAGTAAATCATTAATGAGATCTGGATCGAATGGAGTTAAAGTGAAAGGGACAATAAAGAAAAAAACAGAATTTTTTTCTCTCTCTCGAGATGTAATTTCGTTTTTCCAGAGACAGGACGAAAGCATGGCATGTGCTGATCTCGCTAGATACAAGCAACTGCCCAGAACGGGCCGTCTAGAGTAAGCTTCCCATAAGCCCTATGATACTCCAAGGCCCTGCCGCCAATAAGATGATGTGTCTCGCTCGGTCTAGCTCGGCATATAGGTAAGACTACTACAGATCACAAATGGGGGTTAGTAGTGGTCTCTAACGTTAAACCACTAGGGCAGCGGAAGCTGCCAACGCCGACGGACGGCAAGAAATAAAGGATGATGATGAATGCGGCTCTGTCTATCTGTCTGTCTATCATATGTAGCATACACATGTCTATCTGCAGAGCATTTATTGTCACGAGGCGGCGTAGTAGGACATTGAAGATCTATCTGATTCTGATTCTGATTCATTATCAAGAGTGGGCAGTTTGTTGTTGTCCCCTTAAGACTACATGGCATTGTAGAGTACCTCATACCTCGAGACCCCTGTTACTCTACTGCTCTAGAGTCGGTACTAGACCTACTCTAGATCGATACCTGAGTTACATGCATGAGTGCATGTACCTACAAAGCTGCTTGCTTGCTTGCTTGCTGGCCACCAGAGAGTGAGAAAGAGAGAGTCATACCTACATCTTCCCTTCCCTCGACTTCCCTTTCGTCCCTTTCGTTCTATGTATGCTGTACATGTGGGCACTCTAGCTCCCTCTAGGCCCCCAAGATAATTAGCCGCGTTCTCTCAGACTCGACCTCCACATGCCAAATATCTCCCAACGTCCAGGCACCCACCAACCCACCTAGAGTACATACATGTAGTGAGCACATGTACTTCTACCTAACACCCACTGAGTTGCCCTGTAATCTCCTTCCGATCCACGCAGCAAGTCGGTCTATCGCAAATAAACATACATCTCTAGCTAGATTCCTGAAATGTAACTAGGTACCGGTAGTTCAACCAAACCGAAGCTCCAACTAACCGCGGTAGTTTTCCACCCCCTTCCTCCCTCCCTCCGCTCCTGATTCCCGCAGACGCCTCTCTCTCTCTATCCCTATGCATCTGCTCTACATACGTAGCCGTTCCCGCCCCATCGGAAAAAGTGATCTGTTGCCTTCTTTGCTTTTCAGGGCGCTTGCTAGCTAGCTAGCTAAGCCGGCACAACCGCGCCTGGAACGCATCCACATACATTGTATCTGCGCCGCACCTGAAACAGTGGATTGGGACCAAAAAGAAAAATCAATATGTAGAGAGAGAAATCTGGCCCTCGCGCCAGAAGAAGGAGATCAGCAGTACATAGTGGGAAAATTTAAAGAGTCTAGACGTGCTCGAGCTTCTCGCTCCCTCTCAGGCCGCCAAGATCCGATCTGCTCCATGAACCATCGCGGTTGTGGCTGCGGCGAGACCGCTCGGCCCGACGGACGGTGTATCGATGCGATCGCGGTTGTGTGTGTTATTTTCCTTCGGAGGTTATATGATACCGTGGGGGAGGAGGGGGGGGAGGATTAAATTAAAACAGGACTCTTACTCCTCCTCCTATGCATGCATGTAAGTCAGCATGAATTTTGAGCTTAATCCAGAATACATATCACTTTTATCGGAGAAGGGGCCGAGACTTTTCTTTTTTTTTAAAAGTTGCTAGTATTTATCTAGATAGTGTTTGTCCCATTTCCATATACATGACAGTTGTAGAATTTGGAATAAATCAGCGTACAAATCTGCCTCCTCCGCTCCCTCCAAAATTGAGATAGAACGCCCGCATAGTAAGAGAAAAAAAAACAGATGACAGATCCGCCCAGCTTAGCCAATAAGCGAGCGAGAAGTGAAGTGACAAAAAACCGACCCACCCCGGCCCCCGTATCCTGATTTTTTTTTCCAACAAAAAAAACTAGACAAAAGGAAAAACCAGATCTTGTAAGAAAGATAACTATAAACAAAAAAGATGTCTAAAAAAAGGTCCCCGCACCTACTTGTCAAGCAAGCAGGTTGGCAGGTAGAAGAAGAAGTTAGTCGTAGAAGCGAACGTGTAAAAACAATGATGCCGGCCATGTATAAACAAAATCAGATCCCAAACCCAGTTAAAGGAAACAAACACAAGAAAAATGCACCAGGCCCTCTATGATACGATACTCCCTGTAATCGCCCAGCAGAAAGAAAGACAAAAAAACACCCAATGGTATATATAAAACAGTAAATGGAATCAAGCCAAAAACAAAAGAAATTAGGCACTAAGAAAAGAAGGAAAAATGTGGAGAGCAGAAACTCTGCATCACCACATGGTAGTTGCAGCTTTCTGGATAGGAACGATATCAGAAAGCGGCGGGAGGTGTGAAGACATGCCGTTGTCGTAGGGGGCTGTTCGCATCTGTGAGTCGTAGCCCATGTTTGAGAAGGCGTCTTCCCGCTGCTGTTGCTGCATTGAGGTGTAGAAGCTGAGAGCTTGCGAGTTCCATACGATTGGCTTGTTCTTATTTGCTCTGGACGCGATGTCGACTCTCTTCGGGCAACCATCATCCTCGTGTCTAATAGGAAAATGTTAGAAAATCTAATTCTAGAAGCTATAGAGTCGCTGCGCGTTCTTACCTTCTGAGAGTGTCCTTGCGGGCAAACATGTTGTTGCAGAGCTCGCAGCGGAATTTCTTCTCCTTTGCGTGGACCTAAGAAATCACTATTAGCTACTGCAGCTCGACCTCAGACCAGTAATAGAGGAACTTACACAAGCCTGATGTCTAGTCAAGTCCGTCCTTCTTACGAATGCCTTCTTGCACTCCTCAACTCTGCAGATATGGGGTCTTGGCCTATCCGGGTCGTGGGTCTCCAAGTGCGCGTTGTAGTTCCATATCCTTGAAAAGTACTTTCCACACTTGTTGCAATGGAAGTTTGCCTCGCTGGGGTCCGTCAAGCGCCTCTTCTTCCTGTCCCTTGGCGCACCTGATGGAGCTGGAGAGCCCTCATAATGGCTGTGCATGTCCACTACTGACGAGATATCCGCACTCCTGGCCCTCTTCATGGCGCGGATGCCCAAGCCATGGTCCTGAAACTCGTGGTCGTCCATAAACCCGCCCCCCATTACTGGCATGTTATGGGGGTCCTCAGCGCGGAGAATATCCTCCAAAAAGAGCGGTGGAGGAGATGCAGCGCCGGCATGGCCTTGAAGCATGTTGGTATCGTTTGACATCCAGATACCGGGAAGGCTGGGGTCCATTGGAAGCTTGTCCTGCGGGTCCTGCTGGTACTGGTGGTTCATGGGAGACATGAGGCCTTCTGAAGCTGGAGGTGATAGAGGAGAGTTTGAGCGGTGGTGATGGTGTTGGTGATGGGTGTGGTAGTTATCGGATTGCATGTGTGTGAAGGAATGCTCCTGTTGGGGAGGAGATGGCAATGAGTGGTGAGGTCGGAGGTGGTCGTGTAGTGAGCGCTGGGGGAGAGATGGAGAAACTGAGTGCATGCTTCTGGGATGAGACTGGTCTCTTGTACCTCTTGACCAAGAATCCTGAGACATTGGAGGAGTGTGGTATCCCAGTGGTGATGAATGCTGAGTCGGTGTGTATGAATGGGGTGAAAGGTGAGAAGCCATATGTAATGTATGATATTTGTTCCTTTTTTCTTTTCTTCTTATGCCTTGAGGGGGGTGGAGGCTTGTTATGTAACTTTTAGTTGGTTCCTTGGCTTGTACTGTTATATATTGCTTTTTGGTAGCCAAAAAAAAGAAATGGATGTGGTAAGTTGTAACTAGCTGCTATTGCTGCACTGTTTACCGGATGTTGAGGAGGAGGAGGAAGAGGGAGGTTGTAGGTAGATATCGATACTGGAGAAAGCTCTGAATATATCCCTTATTGCAGGAATAGCTATTGAAGTGGGAAATATCGCCGAGTTTTAAAGTTCGAGGCTCAACGGGATGATTGTGCGTGTGCTTCTTGTCACTTGCTTGCGAAAAAAAAGAATGCGGGGAGATTCCATGGAGTCATTTTGTAGTTGAGCACCTACATACTGCAGACCCGTAAGGCAGAGGGCAGAGGGGGGGGTGGTAGCTAGACAAGGTGGGCTGGGTAGGTACCTTCACCGGAATTCCCATGATGGATGGGGTGGTATCGAGCCAGTCGGTAGTGAGTGGTCGTGCGGCGGGGTCCGCGAGCTAAGTTTCCTTCCTTACCAACCCTACATACCTTCCCTGCCATACCTACTCTACTCGACCTACTCTACAAACCACACCCCCCCCCCCCTCTTCTCCCCTGTCATTACCCGTACACATCCACTAATTTTTCCCATGAGAACAGGATTAGAGACAAGTCCGGGTCAGGCACATTTTAGGAGCCAGTGCTGCGACCTGGACCTGGCCCCCAAAATTTCTGGTAACCAGTGTGAGTGTGAGTGAATCTCAGTGAGTGGGCTTTGGACCAAACAGCGCGGTGAATGTTTCGCGCCGGGCGTCAATGCAACCCCCACCAGGCGAGACCCACATGCACGCGTTAGACCAAAATGCGAACGATTCAAACCCGCACACCCCCCCCCCCCCCCCAATCCATTTGTTAGAGTAGCGAAGTATCACTGCAACACTCTAATTCAAGTTTTCGCTCACTCACTCACTTCGACTCTAATTGTAGATTATACATACTCAATTCATAAGTCATAATATCTATTCTCTTGGTAGTTCACTACAATCTTATGCCTCCCACACACACACACACACACACACACACACACACACATACACACACACACGCACATCACCCAAATCGTACACTATGTAACAGTACTTACATCCCTTTTAAAGCCAAAAGCTCATCTAACTTGCGGCTCATGTCCTCAATCGCAACTCGCAGTTGCCGAATCTCGTCGTCCCTAGCACTATAAATCCCGTCGTGACGATTATGCGCATATGGTGCCCTAGTCTCCCCCAAGGCCGATCCACCTTCGAGATCTTCAAGTCTAAGACTGCTGGCAGAGCTCTTAAGCGCAGCCCCCGCTTGAAATCCGGCTCCGCCACCGAGCCCTAGACGTCCTCCCGCTAAGCGCCCAGACCACTCTGAGTATCGGTCTGGTCTCCGATTAAGCGGCCTCAGTCCATGACCGAATTGACTCTTCTTGGTCGTGGGGCTAGGCCCCCATGCAGTGTGACGAGTCTCATTTTCTGGCCACAAGCTTTCATAAAGCATAATTGCCGCGACCTGCAAATCACTTGATTTAAGCAACTCATTCAAGGATCCCGTAAAAGGCTAGAATAATAGATGGGGAACATGGGGACATAAGACATCACATACAAACGGGAAATGCGAAAATTTCAAAAGCGCTATTCTGACAATCCGCAGACGGCCAGCAGAGACGAACAGACGCAGTGGTCGTAAAAGGATTAGTGGCAGCAAGTTCTAAAAATAAGATTATTATTAGTCTTTTAGCCGAACGGAACAACCACGACCACGCTACGTCCTGTCGGCAGTCATTTAGTACTTACTAGCGGCGGGTAATAAACAACCAAGCGATTGCTAGTTGAGGCTTCCATAACCATGATAGAAAACCTAACCGCCGCAACGTTAGTGTTAGAGCGGGGCCGGAAAGTAAGGAGTCGCGGCAACGCGGCTACTCTACATACATGAACAAGTATTCTTCCCTATCGAATCAAGTTAGTTCCGGAGCTGAGCCTCGGAGGGGCAACCGAAAAACAAGCGCGGTATCTACCTAGCATTATTCATCATCTACGGAAAGAGAAAAATTACAATTAGCCGCCAAGAATAATCAATATTACGAGGACTATGTAATTAACAGAGATTGACTGTATCTTACGTTTGTCAACCCATTTGATAGTATACTAATCAACGATGTGACCAGAAGTATATTCGTCAACGTAACGAAAATTAGCTTTTGGCACGGGTTAGCTCATGATCATTGCAGTGAACACTCTGAAGAATTTTTACTAGTACTCACCATGAGTGGTGGTCCCAAGACAGGTGAAATCTACCGCGACCGCGTCTAATGTGAGTTGTGACTAATTCAATCAAAGCAAACGCGGATCTATGCAACTGCACCTCTCTCATTGCATCCTGGAACGTGCGTGTTAGTAGTCCGAATCTGTATCCCTGTGCTACTATTAGTGAGGCTGAATGCACTTACAAAGCCAACAGTATTCTACAAGGGTACCAGATATGATCAGCAACAGCGCATTAATTTCGGATGCTGGCCCTGTCGGGGCAGCGCTTACCGAACCAAAGAAAACTACCCAAAAACCAAGCCGGTCAGCACATAAAATTCTATTTTTATTTCCATCCAGTCTTGCTTAGACCAGCGGGTCCAAACCTTTAATGAGCATCCATGACATTTGCGATAGGGTAAACGTTTCGCGAGCAAGCAGCGAAAATGTTGTCAAAAATCCTACCCACCCCCCCCCCCCCCCCATATTTAGCGAGGCGATCACAGGTGGGCGAAGTCGCTGCCCTGTAAATTATAACCTACCAAGATAAAGAATCACGATCTATACCTATTAGCATGTGTAATTAATTCGGATGCCTTCCACCTAGGGAATAGGGCTTCCCCAAGCGACTGCATCTACCCGATCTGATACTGGAAGGCGAAGCAAGAGCCGCAATAACTCACCAGGATTAGAAACTTCAAAAAGTCTTTTGTCATTTGTTTCAAACAAGGTATCAAGACTCCTGGATCACGGCCGTCAACGTCAGATGCAGTATTCGCGCAGATGTTTCATCATTGGGACCCGTACCAAAATAAGGGTTTAAAGATAGCAAAGAGCAGACACTAAAATCCAGTTATCAGTATCCATAACGGGTCTAATAAAGTCAAGGCGTTCTCGTTCTATCGTTACCGTGGTATCAATAATAACGCCTCGAGCGATAGTATATCAAAGGCGATATCAACGATTGCATCACTATCCTTAACCAAGCCAATTATTCCTGCAGGGATTGGTGAGCGCAGGCTTAAGATTTCCTTGGCCCGGTAATACATACTAACAACCAGAAATCCAACCGCTATCAAAATAATACACAGATCCCATATGCTCCAAAAATCGGCGGTATAGAAAGCCGTCCCTGCATCTCTGAGTGATGATATTTCGTCAACGGCAAATGCGATGAAGAAAACTATCAATGCGCCTTCCATGTATGTAAAATGGAATGGGTCTCTTTCAATCAGAACGCCGTAATACAATGCAAGCAGGGTTGCGAAGAAAAATGCTTCAAAGGCCTTCTGATATTTTGGGACCCTCAGTCGGCAGAATGGATCCGCTTTTCTGGGAAGTCATGTATGTAAGCCAGGATTCATTGCAGCCTTCTAGAATATCGAAGAGGACTTCTTGCCTTTTGTTGTAGAAGTGGGGCTTCTTGGACCCATCCACATCTAGCGTTTTCCAAAAAGAGATTCTTCCGTCCCAGCTACAATTCTTCATTAGTATCTAAAAGCCTCATCGAGTGATAAAAAGCCTTGGCACGTACATAGCATTAATCATACGTTGTACCTGCGTTAGCTCTTGTCAGCTCCTGATCTTGGCCAATATAATGTATGTCTGTAAGACCTACTGGTCGATGCGATAGAAACTTCTTTGCGTCTGCGAGGATCGCAATTTCTAGAGTATTGAGGCCGGCAAATGTCCCTATACTAACACACTCCATCTCATTTGAGCAACTTCTTCTTGTTTGGGTACCTCCCTCCAAAAGCCCTGTCGATTCTGTCGCTTCCTCTTCTGACTCGTCATGGGGTTCCAATGGAGGTAGCTCATAGCAGAGATACTCCAGTGCATCATTAGCAGAAAGGTACGACATCAGATCTAATGCTACAAACTCGGCAGCTAGAGCTCTGCTTGCTCCTAATCCGTGGCCATCATCTGCAAGCTCTTCGGCAGAGAAATGTGCTTTGCACCAACTATTGTCATGGTGCACAGCATCAGTCTCAATCAATCATTGATATCTCAGACAACTAATATATTAATGTCCAAAAGGGGAAAGGGTTTATGTAATAGAATCAATTTGTGGAACTTACAGTAAAGCTGCGACCGTAGCTGGGTTATGGCCTGCATGAATAGTCATTTACCCGTAAGTATATAAACGACTAAAATAACTGGCAGGAAATTTAAACATGTAAGCAAGCTACTCTTTCCCTTACCCTTGTCTGTAAGTTGGCTGCAGAGCCGCGTCGTCACAGGTGAAATCTTGATGGTGTTGAGGTTCTGTGGTGTGTCGATGTTTTCGATAACTGCAGTTGTGTAACACCTCAGTCAGCGGTTGCACCGCTCCTCCGCTTAGAGAAACAACTAGAAGAAAAAAACGGCCCACAATAGTCTTTTAGGTTTTCACAAAGCTCGGCAAAATTCATATCGTCTTTCACGACTGTTGGCGACATCAACGCCGGAGTGGACTGTCCTTCCTCTCCCATATGTTGCATGGAAAGAAATGAAAGCGGTCGACTTTTGGACGGCATGAAGCAACGCTGGACGGAATGCTTTCTGGGCGTGGAGGATTCTGCAGGGAAATTTAGGAGATGGTTGTTGCTTGATGACGA